CAGCTTAGGCCTGGCTTTCAATTGTGTGCCTCAATCCGAGGTAACCAGCCTCAGAATAACACTTCTCTTGGTACCAAGACCAACCGTATTACATATTAGCCTGATTGATTGATTGTCGCACAAAAGTATTTAGAAATGTGGATACGTATTTTTATCTCGAGATGTTCAAATTATCCTAGCAGTTGCCCTCTGATTCAGCGAGACACAGGCTCGCGAGCGTTTTCGTTAAAGAGCATTTCAAGTCGAGCATAATTTCACAGCGGGGAAGAGCTTTACCTAAGGAATAAAAGGGCCATTATGATTGTTCATTGGATGGCGTGAAATGGGGTTAACTCGGAGATTCATTGGCGGTGTCCTAATTTCAGCCAGCGCCTAGCAAACAGGGAAACAGTTCAGCTTTGAAAGCTGGGTGTAAGCCCGACTGATTCATTAGGAAGCTATTGCTAAAGGCAGCGAGAGTCATAATATGTCCCAGGTGGTTTCTCATGCAGCCGTTTTCTGCCCTGTGAGACTCGGCTGGAAATCCCTTAATGCACTATGCCCTTCATTTATTTTATTTTATTTTTTTTGCTACTGGACATTTGAGAGCATTTTAGAATGCTACTTTCCCAACAGCTGCCCGATGATCGATTGGGCTGAATTAAATACGTTTTTATTCCCCCCGCCTCCCCCACGAGAGGAACAGGAAAAGACTACCATCTACAGTGCAACTGAGAAAGTGGAACAATTCATTTGGTAAATCCGCAAAATAGTAGGGAATATAACTGAACCATCCTAGTATATAGTTCAACGTCTGGATTCCACAAGCGAATCTGCAAATAAGGAACTAGCCAAACTGGTTTTTTTTTAGCTTAGCAGTATCAACAATCATTTTAGCCAGTCTCTATCCACTGCGGGATGAAGAAGGCCTCTTCCATATGTTTCCAATCAATATTAATACTGCTAATCGCTTAGCAGTATAAAATTAGTTTTTGAGTTATCAATAGAGCTGTTATAATTTAGGTAATACAGAACAGGGTGAAAAAAAAAGACAGCAATTTTGTGTTACTGTTTTTTTTTTTAAAAAAACTATATATTACAAATGCTTTATACATTCTCCGTTTATGTCGTTTTAGATACAAAATCGTGCAGAGTCGAGTTAAAAAAAAAATCCTTGTAAAATATACCAGCGGTATAAAATTAGCTTTTGAGCATCAATAAAGCTGTTATAATTTAGGTAATATAGAGCAGGGTGAGGGAAAAAAAGATAGTAACTTTGAGTTGTTGCTGTTTTTTAAAATTATTTACAAATTACAAACGCTTATATGGTCTCTGTTGATCTCGTCTTAGATACAAAATCACCCAATGAGTTGAACTTAAAAAAATCCTTGTAATATATACCAGCAATCTTCACGTGAAAAGAAACCAAAATAAAACAGGCACGCTCTTTTATTCTGATTTCCGGCAGGGGAGGGATTTTTTCTTTTTTTTTTTTGCTGTATCTGTTTTCCAAATTTTGAGTGGCTGGCACCCTCTAGTGTTAGAATTAGCAGAACAATGCATGAGTGTGTGTGGGGGGTCTCTGTGTGTTAAGTGTGAGAAATAAACTAGGAGAAACCATGGCTTAAATCATGAAAACTGTAGAACTGATGGAAAGGATAACCTCTTATGTAGACACACAGCTGTGAGATTAATACTGAATTTATAACAGATTTCATGAGCAGAGAGGCACTGATCTGGAAAACAACCTGCTGGAAAAAATCCAAATTAGCCTAAATAAATAAGACTTTCAGCCTCCTTTCACTATTCTTTCAACTCATTACCTTCGTGTTTAAATGGCAATGCTGCCTAGAATTCGTATTGATCCTAGCCCCTCATATATTTTTTTTTTTATATTTTGCAAGACCTGCCATGTGCATAACAGACAATTAGTGAAAATAAGTACTAAACCAAGTGCTAAATAATCACCCCAGTTTATAGCAGGTAACTTTCCCGGTTTGTTAAAACTGCTGTGTATTTGCTAAAATGAATAATAAGGCTCCTACAGTTCTTAAAAACTGGGGGTCCAGGAACCCACTTTTCTTCTCTACAAGATGAGAAGTCAGATCTACGTTATCTTGCCCCACTATTAGCTATAATCCATTGAGGACCCAAATACTGCAGGGGTGAAATGCTACCGGTTCGGACCAGATCACCCGATCCGGTAGCGATGGAGGCGGGTGGTTCGGAGAACCGATAGCAAAAATCCCTGCCTCTCCCCCCCCATGCCCAGCTGAGCCGCGCGATCATCAGAGGCTTTTTTTTTTTTAATTTTTAAAAGCATTTTTCTACAACCTCTTTGGCCGAAAAAATGCTTTTAAAAGTAAAAAGAAAAGCCTCTGCCGATCAGGCAACTCAGCTGGGATCGTCAGAGGCTTTTAAAAGCATTGTTTTTACAACCTCTTCAGCCGAAGAGGTTGTAGAAAACATGGTTTTAAAAGTAAAAAAAAAAAAAGTTGACCACGCCCACTCAGTCATATTAAACCCCCCCCAAACCACGCCCATAGAACCAGTAGTAACAAATTTTACATTTCACCACTGATATACTGCACGAGTAAAAGAGGGCTGTAAAAATATCTACAGACCTCTCACATCCTGGACATAAACTGTTTCAACTCCTACCCTCAAAATGACACTATAGGGCACTGCACACCAGAATAACTAGACACAAGGACAGTTTTTTCCCGAACGCCATCACTCTGCTAAACAAATAATTCCTTCAACACTGTCAAACTATTCACTAAGTCTGCATTACTATTACTATTAGTCTTCTCATCGTTCCCATCACCCCTCTTCTCCCAATTATGACTTCATGACTGTAACTTTGTTGCTTGTATCCTTACGATTTATATTGATATTGATCATTTCCTATGATCAATATCATAGGAAATGATATGATTCGATTGCTTATTTGTACCCTAGGACTATCATTAAGTGTTGTATCATATGATTCTTGACGAATGTATCTTGTCTTTTTATGTACACTGAGAGTTTATGCACCAAAGACAAATTCCCTGTGTGTCCAATCACACTTGGCCAATAAAGAATTCTATCTATCTATTCTCAACAATAGAAAGGTGCCAAAAAATAAACATGTAATTTTAGGGTTTCAGACAATGTTTTTCCCAAACGCTTCCTGAAGAAACCATAGATTAAAATTTGAGTCCATATGGCGTGTGGCGATATATAAACAGAAACTCGATAAATAAATTTTCTCCATGCAAATCACATATTCTACCCATGTGCTACGGGGCTTCCCCACTGTTGACTAAAATACATTCTATACTTTGAGGCTGGGTTGAAAGAAAAACACCGTAAACAATGTACAAGGAATGCAAAGATCTCTTTTTATCCCTTGCTTTACTGTCTTCTGCATAAAAGCAGATAAGCAGAAAAAAGGAAGAAAGCTGGATATTCAGATATATTCACTCAACAGAATTCGTTTTCGTGAGATAAGGCTCCTTAAACTATCAAACATTCATGAGACTAAATGGAACATCTGTGACTAGAAATAGTATACCTCCAATTACCGCTGGCTATAAACCATTGTTTACCTTGCTTGTGACTAGTCAGAAATAATCTTGGCTGACTATCGTTAATACGTTGAAGTAGATGATTCTTATTCTGAGCCACGCGAGGGAACTTATGTGTTCCTTACGGACTACATTGCCAAGATTTTAACCAAAAAAAGGAATCCCAGGAATGTACAATATATTTCAGCTCGTCTTATTTATTCTTAGTTTTGATTCTTAACTTCGCTTTGATTTCATTCCCAAAAAAATTGAATTGTAATTTAAAAACATGAAGACAGTGGGATCAACTTGCATCGAGAGGTGTGGTGGCCTAGAGGCGGAGCTCTCGCCTCACAATCAGGAGGCTGAAAGTTCGATCCTAGGTAGAGGCAGATATTTCTCTCTCTGGGCACAAGGACATTATATCTGCTGAATAAAACTCTCCATTGGTGACAGGAAGGGAATCCGGCCAGTAAACACTCGGCTCCATTCAGTTGCCCAGACTCCACCCCACAAGGGATTATGGGGTCGTTAAAAGATGATGATGATTGGGATCAACTTGCATAACATCGTTCAAAATAATTTGGATATACATTTCCTTAAGTTATAGAATGAATAGTGTATGTATGCGCAAACAATACATACACATACCCTGTTTCCCCGAAAATAAGACATCCCCTGATAATGAGCCCAATCGGGCTTTTGAGCGCATGTGCTAAAATAAGCCTCCCCCCAAAAATAAGTCCTCCCCGAAAATATTTAAACACAGAGTTGGAAATTAGATAAGATGGCAAGAGGAGACCCATCTTGCTCCACGTGCCCCAAAATAATAAGACCTCCCTGAAAATAAGACCAAGCGCTTATTTTGGGGTTCAAAAAAATATAAAACAGGGTCTTATTTTTGGGAAAACACGGTATTCTTCCATGACAGAGTGGTAGGACTTCCAAGAAGTCAACCGATGAAGCACTGATGGGATCCAGATTTGATTTATCTTCAACAAGGTCACTGTGAGATCATGAGATATATATAGTGATCTAAATGCAACAGCTAGCTGCATTTATAATTTATGCACGTGTATATTGTTATATGTTTAAACTTTTGAGACTGATAACTGAAGAATGGAACAAAACACTAGTTTAAAATAACACATTGTATCGCCTCATCTAACACGTTAAGAAAGTCCATTGATCAACTGTGTCCATTTTCTTGTTCTTGTGTTAACGCTCCACCTCAATTTATCTATTTTTATAAAATCGCAATCTTGCTTCAGAAATGAAATATCCGACTTAAAGAGTGTTCCTATGCAAATCGACGTGCATTTTAGAAAAAGAGAGAATGGAAGTGGGACAACTGAGTCTCATGGCTTTATTATATTAATCTAGACAGAGCCAAACCAAGCAAGATCGTAGTGGCTGACGGAGGTACAAAGCAACAGAAACAGGGATAAGAAAATGTGATTTATGAATTACCGTGGTTACAAGGTTTCAAAACAGGTGCTGCAGAAGTAGAGCTGAAGTTCTGGGGTTCATCTGCAGATTTAAAAAAAAAAGATAAATAAACTATAGATTTCCAAAGTTTTTTTTTTTTTTTTAATTAAACCACCAACATAAATTTGGTCACTTTTATAGCTATTACTTTTTTTTTTTTTAATCCAAAGGGACCCATGATTCCACAGAAGTATCCCATCATAGATAAATCCACAGGCCCTCTGGGACCAAAATACAGAGCAGAATAGAAGGAAGACTTGGAGTGAAGAACCCTGATTTACAAAGCAAGGCTCATATTTCTCTTAAATCTTGATTCAGGATTACACTTGTTTGCTCTGGACATATAGGGGGAGAAACGGTGATACTTTCAGTGGCTCATGATGCTCTACACCAAAGATCTCAAACTCAAGCCCTGTAGGCCAGATCTGGCTCGTGGGGTGCTTAAATCTGGTCTGAGGGGATGCCCTGGAAACAGCAAAGGACCGGCGCGCAGTGCCTCTGTCAGCGAAAACAGAGGTTGGGAGGGCCTCATGTGGCCCACCCAAGTTCCATTTTCGGCTACAATGGCCTCCTCCAGCCCTCTGCCAGTAAATGTATGTATGTATACACGTGTATACATATACTGCGAAGCCTTTCCACTTTTAGGCAAAATTACTACATGGAGAGAATCGCGTCAATATGCGACAAGTCAAAAACACTAAGGAATTTGCAAGGCAAAGTTTTATAAGTGAGTCGCCACAGCCCATTTTTCCTACGGCAAGCCATCTAGGAATGGAATTTGTCCCGCAAAATTTCATTTTAACTACTTCGCTATCTTTAAAGGCTGTTTTATGTTCTCATTACCAAAAAAATATATATTTTTCCTGATTCTATCAAAAAATGTAAATGTTTATACACAAACCTATTTCTTTGTTCGCCTTTTTACGCTTTAAATCCATGTTTCTAAGTTATTTCTGGTTGCGTCCTCTTCCCCACCAGGAGTTTGAAGAATCTCAGTTTTTTTATTGTGTCACTTGTAAAACTTTTACATTTGCTTGTAAAAACATTCAGAGGTTGGCAACCTTAAACACTCAAAGAGCCATTTGGACCCGTTTCCCACAGAAAAGAAAACACCGGGAGCCACAAAACCTTTCCCGTGCCTGACTATTTCCTGAGCGGCCATATAACTAGCATATGTAGTTGAATTAAACATTCTGGGTTTTTCTGAAACTTTTCTTTTCTTGGATTTATCCATGGTTGGCCTACCAGGAGTCGAAAAGCTCAATAAATCGTGTGCCAGTAGGTGTCGGACATTGGCGGTTGTGACACATATTTTGAGTGACAGGGAGCCGCAGCAGAGTGGTGAAAGAGCCACATGCGGCTCCAGAGCCACGGGTTGCTGATCTCTGGTTTAGGTGGACATCCCTGCTCCATTTGCCTTTGTGATATTAAAATGGATATTAAAAAAAAAACCCAGCTCCGAAGCAATTTTGGCCTGCATTTTTCCACTAATGGGTGGGTTATTTTTAAACTAGGATTGGTGGCATGATTCTATAGAAAATAAGAGAGCGAGGGGGGGGGGACGGAGGGGGGAGGACGGAAAGAGAGATAAAATTATTTACCTTTAAACCTGGGTGCTCGTTTTCTTCGATCGCGGAAAGCCGCCCCTGACTGCAGCGCCTCCAGCAAACTATCCATCACTCCTGTCTCGTCCTTCTCTGTGAAAACAAATGGAGGGAATTCCTTGTTTTCTGGGTTACCACAGTAATGTCAAAGGATTGTAGAGGGATACAGGAAAGGCGCTAGCAATAAAAACCTGACTGTTCCCAATTCAGAGAAACCTTTAAATTTACTCATCAATCAGATTTTTCAAGAAGGGAGAGCTTGCAGATCGTTTTCGCCTGCAGCAGATTCAACTTAGTTTGATTAAGTTCACAAAAATCCAACGCATCCTAAAAAGAAGACGCAACAAGAATGTTAAGCGTTAACGCGGCTTCATCCTCGCACTGTTGCGTTCTTCTTAAAGCTTTGAATGAAAACCGGAGATCACGGTCACACAGAAATTCTCTTGAAGGAATTTATCCGTGAGGCTACAATCTGAAGTGCTGACATTCATCCTTTGCAAAAGCTGCATTAAGCTCTTCTCCTTCTGCCTTTCTTTAATGGATAAAAGCATAGATGGCTCTCTAGTGCTTCCACTCTAAGACCTGTAAATTATTATGCCAAACTTTTATATTCTTTTTTTTCCTAAAGTTAACATTGCATTGAAAAGGAAAATTCTCCCCAAGACTGCTAGACACCAAGCAATCATTTCTCTTATAATTCCAGAGGATGTTATAAAGCCACTTACAGCCTCAAGAGCAGCTGAAAAACTATGTGCGTATAATATCCCCTTGACAATAATTTCCATCTGTAACCGGAGTAATTTAAAAAAGAATAAATCTGCATGTATACGCTGCTTGTTAAATAATTGAGAAATGTCTTTGGTTTCTTAAACACAATACTAATACTTCTGGGTCGGAAGCACTGAAGTGTTTCTGTGACGAAAGGATTTGTCGGTGACATCACCGATGCCTGGGGATGTGGGCTCCTTTCATGTATCTGTGAAGTGTGGGCACCCGCTTTTGAACCGCTGGGTTGGTGGGAGCTGGAGCGTGTGACGGGAACTCAACCTGCCCAGCGACAGCAACTGGTTTCGAACACGAGGCTGCCAATCGTCAGCCCAGCGTTCTAACCTCAGGAGCCACCGTGCTCTTCTTAAACACAATGTGTTCATTATATATATATTTAAATGATTAGTTACCTTAGTTTTAATCAAAAGGAGTTGAAAGGAGAATAAGATTAATACCAGAAGATTAAATGCTTCAGCCATTTAACCCATTCAGCCCTAGTGCTGCGTAACGGGGTAAGCTCCCATTACTTGTCCCAGCTTCTGCCAACCTAGCAGTTCAAAGCATGTAAAAAATGCAAGTAGAAAAATAGGGACCACTTTGGTGAGAAGATAACAAGTATTCCGTGTGCCTTTGGTGTTTAGTCATGCCAGCCACATGACCACAGAGACATCTTCCGACAGCGCTGGCTCTTCGGCTTTGAAATGGAGATGAGCACTGCCCCCTAGAGTCAGGAACGACTAGCACATATGTGCGAGAGGAACCTTTACCTTTACCATTTATGTACTGAAATATAAAAGTTATAACTAGAACTCTATGGCTTAGCTATCCCTGCGACTTACTCGGAGAAAGAGATCTGAAAGAATCTGGGAGTTTATTTGCTTATTATTAAATGTATTGGCCGCTCTTTTTACCACAGGATAACTGTCTGTGATAAGATAAGAGTTACAGTATATATTTGCTTTTCTTAAGCAAGGGTTGGGTAGAAGTCAGCAAGTTTAGCATGAAATCAGGGGCAGTAGAGAGGTGTCAGAAAATACAAGTATTTATAGTTAATCTAAAACTGTACAAGTGAGCAGAAGTCCGCCAACTGTCAAGACCTTCTGGTAGCTGATTTGCAACACTGAGACACTGTCAGATAATTTCAAAACTTTTAAAACTCCTGACTTAAAAAATAGTGAATGAACTTTCTAATTGCTATCTGAGCCTAATTCAAGGTTCTTCTTGGGGTGGAGAAAGCGAGACACAGTTGAGGCTCAAATTTGTCCGCGGGATTGTCTACTCCGTTACCAAACCTTAAATTCTCCAGTTTTCAAGAGGACATCTTTGGCAGATAGCAACCCTTAGGCCAACGAACAACAAGAGCAAAATTTCTGCTTTTTCCACCAATCAATTCCACTTCACTGTGGAATTTGATTGCCCGGGGGCAGTTCAGGTGGGGTCTTAAACCTTCCTGGTTGCCTCAGGCCATCAGACGCGCTGATTTTGTTTCTTTTTGTTATTCTTTTTCTTGTCGTTGCAGACAAGTTTTATTGCAAGAGCCAATGGAAGAGTGGGTTGATGAACAGATAATTCTGGATACAATAAATAAATAAAGGCAGGACACTTGTATTGATTGAAATAATTAGTAGGCAACATAACAAATGGGGTTTACTCTTATTCAAGCCAGATCTAAATTGGGTAGCTTTGTCATTCATCACCAGTACTCTGTATCTCATCTGGAAACAACCTGGCAGCTGGCATTTCCTTGCCAATTACCCACAAACACACTTGAAGTTCGTAATTACTTTACTCGGAATCAGGGGCCCGTCCTGTTGACAACCCTCAGGCTGCATTAAAAATTGAGCGCTATTGATATGGGAAATTATTACTGGAGTTAAAAAAAAAGAAAACCAAGCTTTTTATAGTTATGCATAATCACCGGGAAACTCTCTCTGGGCAGTCGAACATTTTGTAGGAACATCAAGCACTACGGAAGTTGGATAATCTAGAGCCGTAGGATACGATTTCTCCAGGCAATACAGTTGTTTTATATATTTATATACATCTACATCTACATCTACATCTACCTACCTACCTACCTACCTACCTACCTATCTACATCTACATCTATCTATCTATCTATCTATCTATCTATCTATCTATCTATACTGGTCCAAAATCCAACACTGGCTCTGTGAAATAACAGGACAGGAGGTAGCCCTAGTTCCGGAACTTTTCCTCCTAGGCATAACTGAAGAGGGCTTAAATAACAACAAAACCCAATTCATAATCCAGATTATAACTGCGGCTAGATTAGCCTTCGCAAAATGGTGGAAAAACAAACTTATACCCTCAGAAGAAACTCTAATAAATAAGATCTTAGAGTGCGCAGAAATGGCGAAACTGACAGGCGAGTTAAAAAATGAGGACAACTCAAGATATTATGATGTATGGGGTATTTGGTACCACTGGCTTAAAAATAAGACGAAAACATGACTTTAGAATTTTGACTTGGCACATCTACTATAGTCATATTGTATAGTATCATGTATAGTTAAGATTGAAGCCTTATTTTTCCCAACTTTTGTTTTATTATATTGTAAATACACTGTACCTCCGAAAGCAGAGATGGATTGTACATTCTCTTTTTTGTTTTGGAAAAATCAATAAAAAATTTTTTTAAAAAAAAATTATTTTAATTTTTAATTATTGTTGTGTCTTGTGTTTTTAAATTGGCTGTACACCGCCCTGAGTCCTTCGGGAGAAGGGCGGTATAGAAATAAAATAATAAATAATAATAATAATAATAATAATAATAATAATAATAATAATAATAATAATTATTATTATTATTATTATTATTATTATTATTATTATTAACAACTATGACTTAGCTATCCCTGCGACTTACTCGGAGAAAGAGGTCTGAAAGAATCTGTGAGTTTATTTGCTTATTATTAAATGTATCGGCCGCTCTTTTTACCACAGGATAACTGTCTGTCATAAGATAAGAGTTACAATATATATTTGCTTTTCTTAAGCAAGGATTGGGTAGAAGTCAGCAAGTTTAGCTTGAAATCAGGGCAGTAGAGAGGTGTCAGAAAATACAAGTATTTATAGTTAATCTAAAACTGTACAAGTGAGCAGAAGTCCGCCAACTGTCAAGACCTTCTGGTAGCTGATTTGCAACACTGAGACACTGTCAGATAATTTCAAAACTTTTAAAACTCCTGACTTAAAAAATAGTGAATGAACTTTCTAATTGCTATCTGAGCCTAATTCAAGGTTCTTCTTGGGGTGGAGAAAGCGAGACACAGTTGAGGCTCAAATTTGTCCGCGGGATTGTCTACTCCGTTACCAAACCTTAAATTCTCCAGTTTTCAAGAGGACATCTTTGGCAGATAGCAACCCTTAGGCCAACGAACAACAAGAGCAAAATTTCTGCTTTTTCCCACCAATCAATTCCACTTCACTGTGGAATTTGATTGCCCGGGGGCAGTTCAGGTGGGGTCTTAAACCTTCCTGGTTGCCTCAGGCCATCAGACGCGCTGATTTTGTTTCTTTTTGTTATTCTTTTTCTTGTCGTTGCAGACAAGTTTTATTGCAAGAGCCAATGGAAGAGTGGGTTGATGAACAGATAATTCTGGATACAATAAATAAATAAAGGCAGGACACTTGTATTGATTGAAATAATTAGTAGGCAACATAACAAATGGGGTTTACTCTTATTCAAGCCAGATCTAAATTGGTAGCTTTGTCATTCATCACCAGTACTCTGTATCTCATCTGGAAACAACCTGGCAGCTGGCATTTCCTTGCCAATTACCCACAAACACACTTGAAGTTCGTAATTACTTTACTCGGAATCAGGGGCCCGTCCTGTTGACAACCCTCAGGCTGCATTAAAAATTGAGCGCTATTGATATGGGAAATTATTACTGGAGTTAAAAAAAAAGAAAACCAAGCTTTTTATAGTTATGCATAATCACCGGGAACTCTCTCTGGGCAGTCGAACATTTTGTAGGAACATCAAGCACTACGGAAGTTGGATAATCTAGAGCCGTAGGATACGATTTCTCCAGGCAATACAGTTGTTTTATATATTTATATACATCTACATCTACATCTACATCTACCTACCTACCTACCTACCTACCTACCTATCTACATCTACATCTATCTATCTATCTATCTATCTATCTATCTATCTATCTATCTATCTATCTATCTATCTACATCTATCTATCTATCTATCTATCTATCTATCTATCTATCTATCTATCTATCTACATCTACATCTATCTATCTATCTATCTATCTACATCTATCTATCTATCTATCTATCTATCTATCTATCTATCTACATCTATCTATCTATCTATCTATCTATCTATCTATCTATCTATCTATCTATCTATACACATCTACATCTACATCTACATCTACATCTACATCTATATACACACACACAGTATATATATATATAGCATAAATGTGTGTGACTATCCGTTTGTAGATAGAATAAAAAATAACGTTCAGAATGTTAACTACAATGTGGACTTCAAAAAACACACACGTTAAACAAAGAAAAAGAAAGGAAAGAATGTGTGCTTCTTGGCAACCTAACATTACTGCAGAAGCCAAGAGGCACTTGTAACATTAACACAATCACCAGTGTGCTTACTGTTTTGCAACCTATTATTTTTCTCCCTAACGGTGCATTTTTAAAAGATCCTGTTATGAGAGCCATCAAGCAGCCTACATCGGCAATCAGCACAGAAAGCTTAACTTTACGTCAGGCTATAAATCTCATTAGATTTGGAGAATTTCAAATCCGCGTCCTGGAGGAACCTTAAACCAGCTCTGGGTAGTCATCTCTTGAATTGAGATTCTGCTAGATAACGTTATCTGGTCCCATCTTTTGACAGGTGTTTTTTCTCCCGTTTTCAATCCTTGTGTTAGACGGTTCAAAGCGCTGTTTTACAGAGTCCATGCAGATTGTCGGAGTTTTAAGTTACCCATACCCTGCTGCCAGAGGTGAAATGCTATCGGTTCGCTCCAGTTCAGGCGAACTGGTAATGATAAAAACTACAGGTTTGAGCGAACCGGTAGTAAAAAAAAAAGCTACCGGTTTGGGCGAACCGGTATTTCCGACAATCAGCTGTACAGCGGGGTTTAGCTTTGCTAGAAAACAGGAAATCCTGCTTTCTAGCAAAGCTAAATCGCGCATCCCAGCTGATCCCCCCTTGCTGTTCTACTTACTTCCCAGGCCTCCTTTTGGCGCGTATTGAGCATGCCCGCATTTGGTATGCACTGCGCATGCGTGCAGTGCACGCATTGGTCGTGTGGTGGGCATGCACGGCCAGCAAACCGGTAGCAAACCGGTTTGGATTTCACCACTGCCTGCAGCCCATCTGCTCCTTGCTGTTAGTTTTTTGGCCACTTCACTTTCTCCTTGAGAGAGAGAGCAAGCCAGCACAAAGGAAGACATTAATCAGAAGGAAAGAGGAATCAGCGCCTTCAAAAGAAACCAATTTTGCAATCCAGGTTCCAGTTCTGAGCGTGATGAGATGCTAGATTGTTTCTTGCTGGAAGCCAGAAAGGGTTAACTGTGGGTGCACGTCCTCTCTTATTAAATCGACATTTGTCTAAAAGTGGTTACAATTTGAGGACGAGCAAAAGAATATAGAGGGGATCAATCAGACCTAAATGCAGCAGGGAATTTTAAGTAAACCACTTGTTCTGCCTAAGGAAGCCCAAATCAGGTTGCTCTGACCACATTACCTGTTTTAATGTCCAGCAGGTGCTTTTTCTTCTGTTGTTTTTCTAGTTTTTCTTTTTCTGCTTTCTCTTGAGCTATTCTAGCACGCCTCTGCTTTTCTTCCATTTCTTTCCTTCTCATATTATCCTTTGCTGCTTGCTAGAGAGAAAAAAATACATTGTCAAATATTAAGATTTGCTTTTTTAAAGATTTCACGAGAGAACGATGATGTATTTTTGCTTGGTTCACACAAAAGCAATTGGCTTAAGATTTAAGGAGTGTCATCCTTGAGGATCACAGGACCAGATCTTCTCAATTGATCTCCGCTTCCTGGAATAGCACGCCTTCTGACATTAGACTGGCCCACAACTTATAGCTGTTTTGGAAAACCATTAAAAGCATGGCTATGTTCTCTTGGGCAAAACTAGTACATATTTATCCCCAACTTCAAATTCCCCACTTGGTCAGAAAGTTCATAAGATGCCCTTAGATCAGGGTGTCAAACTCAATTTCATTGAGGTCCTCATCAGGGTCATGTTTGACCTTGAGGGGCCGGGATGGGCGTGGCCGTGGTGGGTGTGGCCAGCTCAACATCACTCGTGTCGGGGTGCCTGTGGCGGCCCAAATGCTCTGCCAGCGAGAACGGGCTGCAATCCTCTGCCAGCAAAAATGGAGCTTGGGAGTGCTGCGCACGACCCTCGCGAGCTCTGTTTTTGGCTGCGACGGCCTCCTGCAACCCTCTGCCAGCCAAGATGGAGCTCCGGAGGGCCACACGCACCCCTCCCGAGCTCCATTTTCGCTGGCAGAGGCACTGTGGGCTGGTCCTTCACTGTTTCCAGGGTGAATCTGGCCCCCAGGCCTTGAGTTTGACACCCCTGCCTTAGATGATTTGTTCTCCTGGCCTGTTTTTTGTACTAACTTAGAATGATGATGGGGGGAACAAAACTTTACATTTAGCTCTCATGTTTCTGAAGGAAGAAGGATTTTGGCGTAACAGCTCAACAACTGAGCAATAGGCTGAAGTAACTGGTCAATCGCATTTTCTTCCAGCTAACCCAACTCCCATGGTTCCAGAAGACATCAATGATAAAACCAGCATGATGTTGTTATCAGGACAGCTATAGAAGAATGCCTGCATAATCTTCTTGAAGTGAGGTCTATGACAATTCTCCATGGCCAACTCACCATGGCCAACATTTTGCAGGAAAACTCGCCATGCTCAAACCGCTGTGGGCCAACTTGCCATGGGCCAAAAGTTACACTAATATCAAAGCAACGGTGGCGTAGATTCATTAAAGGAAGGATGCAGAAAGAGGAACAAAAGAACGAAATGGGAATGACAAAAATTAAAATCATCATCATCCTCTTTTAACGACCACATAATCCCTTGAGGAGTGGAGTCTGGGCAACTGAATGGAGCTGAGTGTTTACTGACCGGATGCCCTTCCTATCGCAAATGCGGAATTTTAGTCAGCGGGTGTATTCTTAACGTGCCCAGAGAAATATCTAGGATTAAACTCACAACCTCCTGATTGTGAGGTGAGAGCTCCACCTCTAGGCCACCGCACCACTCACAAAAATTAAAATATATATTTTTAAAAATTTATTTGAAATAATTAAATTGAATTGCTAAATTGTCCCGTAGTGTGTTGGTCAAAGAGAGTTGGAACAACTCTATGGGGAGTTTGTGGTGCGTTTGCCGAAGCGAGTTGGCTGCAGCGAATGGCCCCATTCCCCTTGGGGTGGAGGGGAGCACAAGTCTAATGAACGGCATGCTAAAAACAAGACAAAACACAGAGAAGAGGACAAAAAGAAATGGAAAGAAAGCATAATTAAATTTACTAGATTAACAGGATTACTCGCTAAGTACCCAAATGATTAGAATTAAATACTATTCAGGGGCAAAGATGGGAAATAAAACCAATCAAGGATAATAACAGGAGGACTTTTGACCCTTGCTATTCCTGCGCAGCGTATCATTTTGTTCTGTGCGCCTTACCGTGAACATCGTTTTGAAGTTGCTCAAGTCGGTGAGGAATTCTTCTACCGAGATTTTCTTTAAATCAATGGCATAATATTCCATGACATCCCGGTACAGATTTTCCATGCTTTTGTGTATGGTAGAAAGTTGCTTGAACTGCTCTTTTGCTTGGACGAGAAAGCTGTGCTAGGCTTGTTAAAGTTATATTCAGAGTAGAGCGGTATTAAAATAAGCCAAGACGGAGATTTTTCAAAAGCTTTGCTAAGACTATTCACAAAGTACTAAGATGGGCAGCGTATAACAGATAATCTATTTTTTTCCCCTCTTGCAACAATAGCATTCCTTTCGCGATAGACTGGGGTTTAATATCTTTTAGAAAGGATTTCTCATAGGAAACCAATGCAATCAGCAATTAGGCATCCCAGCAACTTATTAAGGGCTGTATGAAATTATGGGGGAAATTGTTTGATACTAGTTATCCAAATACGATTCTTTACTACAATACTTGTGGTTTAGATTTCTACTAAATTGTAAAGGTTCCCCTCGCACATATGTCCTAGTCATTCCCGACTCTAGGGGGTGATGCTCATCTCTGTTTCAAAGCCGAAGAGCCAGCGCTGTCCAAAGACGTCTCCGTGGTCATGTGGCCGGCATGACTAAAGGCCAAAGGCGCACGGAACGCTGTTACCTTCCCACCAAAGGTGGTCCCTATTTTTCTACTTGCATTTTTTACGTGCTTTCGAACTGCTAGGTTGGCAGAAGCTGGGACAAGTAACGGGAGCTCACCCCATTACACGGCACTAGGGATTCGAACTGCTGAACTGACGACCTTTTGATCGACAAGCTCAGTATCTTAGCCACTGAGCCACCGCGTCCTGAAAAAGGATCTATTAAAAGGATCTAATTTAAATAGCTCTTAAAAGGATCTATTTAAGCCCATGGTACTGTGGTCTACATATCCTGAATAATCTTAACATCTCTAGCATGTTTTATTCTGCCCCAGTACTGTGTTCTAATCAACAACGTTCATCGGTTGAGGAATATCCTATCCCTATAACTGATCATTTGGAGCTAGGTCAGAAGTACAGAACTTGTTTTAATGCTTTAACAAGCCACCACGTCCCCCTTGTTCTGACTTAGGCTTCACCAAATCACGAAACAGACTCCTTGTCCCGAAAAACCGCTTTTTATTTGGCTAATGTGAATTCCTAGCATTCACATCCAGCAAAGTCCCGGCAAACAAGTCTTTCAAGGGTGAATTGCAACAACAGACCTTATCAGTCCTTGGATAGCTGCCGGCCAATAGCTTCCAGGTACAACGCTGTACAATGAAACACTTGGCAAAGAGTCTCTGCGAGGCACGAACTCAGATAAGCAAATCTTCACACTAATAAACGAACTAATTATCTCCTGAAAACACCACTCCCCTTTTGCTATTTATTCCCTATGGGAGGGGACATTCAGTGTCCCCTTTTGCTTCTACTCCCGAGTCGACCCCTGTTCCTTAATTGTTCCCTTCTCCTGAGAGCTCTGCGTATGCGCACATCGGGAACAGGCTCCAGCTGTTTTTCTGCCCCACTTATCTCCGACTCCGAAGGTAGCTGATAACTGCCAGACGGCCCTGGCCCCCTCTCTGCCTCAGATGCAGAGCACTCATCAGAGCCTTCCCCAGACTCAAGGACTGGCCCATGTCCCTCCCCAACCTCTTCACTGTCTGAGTCTGCCGCCACAACACAAATATTATAATCCATATGAACCTATTATCTAGTGCAGTGTTATGTACATCATTTTTTAAAAAAATATTACAAGCTTTAACCAGTAAAGTCTTTTTTTTTTTTTTTTAGGAGCGTCAAAATAATCGCAAATAAACATTGACTAGGCAACAATCCATCAGGCATCTTAAATCTTACTAGAGATCCTCTGCCTTGGTGCTAGATCTCAAAATGTTGCAACATTGCTGGTCTGATAAAAAGCCTTATCGGAAAGTAGGAAATCTTCATTGAATGGTAGATTGTCTAGGGAATGCCGATAGAAGGGACAGCGTAAGATTTTGATGAAGTATTGTGTGAATCATTTGTCCCAGATAAACTAGCCCAGATGCATAGCTGAAGTATATGTATTTTCATGCCAACTGCTGTCAGCGTTTGTCAAAGCCAGCCAGTTTCATCAAGGCTTAAAATTCTGGGAACGGTTTTTATATACAATTAGGAGGGGGAAAAATCTAAGTATGCAAATCATTTCATTATAAAGTCCCCACTCGCATATGTATTTATTAGTTGCAAATGCTTCGTATTTTTTTTCTTACTCGAGTTTATGGTGCCAAATCACTGCATTGAATCTACCAAGTTATTTATTTAAGTGTTTATTGCATAAAACACTTCTATTTTATATTCTATGGCAGCACTGTAGGTTTTCTTGTCTCTACAAAAGGGCATTAAAAAAATTAAAATGGATAAAATAAAATAAAAAATGGTTTACGATTGTTTGGCTTTATTTTTATATTTCAGCTCCCGGCCCCCAACGTTTTACAAATTCTAGATTAAATATCAAGCTAAGAAATCAAGGAAAGGACTAGCTGTTAATGATGCAATGTTTCTAAGCTTTCGCTAAATATAAATCTTCATTCTCAGAACCAGTGCTGAAATCCAATTTTTTTTTTACTACCGGTTCTGTGGACGTGGCTTGGTGGGCGTGGTGTGGTTTAGTGGGCGTGGCAGGAGAAGGATACTGCAAAATCCCCATTCCCACCCCACTCCTGGGGAAAGGATATTGCAAAATCTCCATTCCCATCCCACTCTGGGGCTAGCCAAAGGTGGTATTTGCCAGTTCTCCGAATTCTACTCCAAATTTCCGCTACCGGTTCTCTAGAACCTGTCAGAACCTGTTGGATTTCACTCCTGTCTGAGACATTTATTGCAGAGCAAGTCTTGCTGGCAAATGGATGCACTCTATTACAGAACTCTCTCTCCTTACACACACACACACACACACACACACACACACGCACAAGCACACATATCATGGCTTTCAAATGGGGAAAGTGGAGATAGGCCTGAATATCAATCATTGCTAGTAATTAATTAGGGTTTAGTTAGTTCATTATAGCTCTCCTCTATCCTCGTCCCATTTTTCTTCCATCCTTTTCCCCCCCTTTCCTCCATTAATAGGTAGAAGGAAGGAGAATTCACATGAACAAAGTATGAGACGGGTTTGTGTGTCTAGGAAAGAGGGGTTGAGAATATGCAATAAATCCTAAGGAAAAAAGGAAGTGAAATATAACATATAACATACCATTCTGGTCATAAAATCTATATTCAATTAAAAATGGATTTGCTATATTTAAAAAGGCCCTTCAAAATACAAAACAAGACATGTGGGCTAAAGAAAAAATAATGAGGAGCATTAAAGTATTACACCCTTTTTTTTTTTTGCTTTAAATTGCTTTGTAAATCATATGTGCATGTTTAAGGGTAACTTCATAAATGTTTCTCAAATAATTCCTCTTTGTTTTACTTACTGTTTAAATCCAGCATTAGATAGTTGTTGTGACCTTACTGAGTCATTACAATACACAATTAGTCCCAAACAAACCTATTTTATTGTAACAGCTGAGAATTACGTTCATTCCCAGCTGAGTCCCAATTAATTGCAAAACAAGTCCTTCGGAAGAAGTCCTTCGGGATAATCACTAACCTTTATCTGCTTTGACACCCTGCCAAAGGCCTTACTTGGCAAAGCCCCACGAAGTTCAGAAACAAACAAGAGATGCCGACTGGAAACAGAATTAGCAATGTTGTTTTCCTGCAAAAGGCCCAAGTGCCTTTGTTTCTATTTTAAGCCTTATGGGAGGGGCCAATCATCTCCTGGCCTTACTCCCAAATTGACCCTTTTGTTTTAGCTACTCTTGTCTTCTGGCAGCTCTGCGCATGCGTGCACTAGGAACAGGCTCCTCCTGTTCCTCTGCCTCTCTGCTGTCTGACTCTGGGGGCTCCGGAATCCGTACATCACTCCCAGATGGCCCTGGCCCAATCTCTGCCTCTGACGCAGAGCCCTCATCTGGGCCTTCCCCAGACTCCAGGACTGGCCCATGTTCCTCCCCAGCCTCCTCACTGTCCAACTCCGCTGCCAGCACCACAACAATAGGAGCCTGGCTAGCTCAGCAGACTAATGCATTGTAATTTAACTCCAGCTGTCTGCAATTAATAAGTTCGAATCTTGCCAGGCTCAAGGTTGACTCAGCCTTCCATCCTTTCAAAGGTAGGTAAATTGAGGACCCAGTTTGTGGGGGAAATAAGCTGACTTTGTATAAATAGACAAAAGTATGAAGGCTATTGCTTAGCGCACTGTAAGCCGCCCTGAGTTTCCGGAGAAGGGCGGCATATAAATCAAATTTAAAAAAAAAAAAAAAATAGCAGAAGAGGTACAGAGAGATTAAGAGCCTCTTTGATGGCTCTGATTTTTGCCATCCAAATATGACAAGACTTTTTTAATCAGCCAAATTTGATAAGGCAATATTTCAGGGGCTTTCATGGAGGAGAGGGGGTCGATTTATTCTCCAAAGCACCTGAGGGCAGGACAAGAAGCAATGGGTGGAGTTAAGGAGTTGCCTATAGAATAAAAGCTGAGCCTGTATGAAAAGCGTTTTACAAATTTTAAGAATCATTATCCTGCCTTTTTAAATATTTCGGATGGTGTTTTTTTGTTTTTTTTTTAACTGAGCAGTTGAAAAAAAACGTGAACTATTCTATTTTCCAACCATAACAAGTCGCTGGACAGCTATGCGGGATCATCCAACATTTGCATCAAATACACCGTTTTTCCTGTACACATTTTTTTTTTTTTAATTAGCAAGCACCAGCAACAAATGTAATTCCACTGCTCCCCAATTATTCTCTGTCTACGGGGAATGTTAACAGGAGGCGATTACATTTTAACAGTGTTTAAAGATCAAACCATCTGTTTAAGTGTCGCGTGTGGGATTTAGCTTCGAGTGCTTATGCATTTTTGTGAAATTTCCAATAACTTTTTGTTTTATAAGCTTACAACGTATGCATGGCTCTGTTGTCTAGTTACCCAAACATCTCACATTAAAGAAATATTTCCTAATACTACATCTTGGAACGAAGTACAATCATCATCAGCTTGTCATATTAGCAGTTTCCAAAGTGGGAATTGCCCATCGTAGACAACTGTCTCTTTAAAAGGAAACAAAAAGAATATTTCTCATTCTGTTCCATTGGAGTTAGAAAGACCAAATTTTCACTTTAAACTCATAACCTCTACAAAGTAGAAAGGGAAGAATCATTAAGCCTTGTTGACTGCTGGGGAGGACAAAAAAAAAATCTTCATTGTGGTGCTTTTGGGCAAAATTGTTTTAAAATGTGAACAGGGAAACACATTCTGGTGCCATCATTTTTCTAAACCACAAGCAATATAACTGGAAAAGCGTGCATGATTTGGATGGGTGGGTGGGGGCGGAAAGAAAGGGTGATTTACTTTTATAAAATTACATTAAACAATTGTACTAAACAAAGCTAAAAGTCTATTTCAAGCAATAAATTATTTTAAATACTCTACAAAAAATAAGGGAAATTAATCCAGTGTTATTTCTACAAAACACTAACCAAGCTTAGCTTAAAGAGAATTCAGAATGGGTTAACTCAGGGGTGGGCAATTGTGGCTCTTTTACAACCTGTGGACTTCAACCTGTGGAGCCAAGCTGTCTCAGGAATTCTGGGAGTTGAAGTCCACAGGTTGTAAATGAGCCACAATTGCCCACCCCTGGGTTAACTGAACAAATCCATCTCAATGGACACAGACAGTTCTCCCTGAATTCTAATAAAACCACTACCTAACGCTCACCAGTTAGAAGAAAAATGTGGTAGGAAATGCTCCCGGTTCAGACCGGATCGCCCGATCCGATAGCAATGGCGGAGGATGGTTCGGAGAACCGGTAGCAAAAATCCCTGCCTCCCCCCATGCCCAGCTGAGCCGAGTGATCATCAGAGGCTTTTTTTTTTTAATTTTTAAAAAACATTTTTTCTACAACCTCTTCGGCCGGAAAAAAAAAATGCTTTTAAAAGTTAAAAAAAAAAAAAAGCCTCTGATGATCGCACGGCTCATCTGGGATCGTCAGTCTTTTAAAAGCATTTTTTCTATAACCTCTTTGGCCGAAGAGGTTGTAGAAAAAATGTTTTTAAAAGAAAAAAAAATCTCTGCTGTTCAGGCAACTCAGCTGGGATCGTCAGAGCCTTTTAAAAGCATTTTTTAACAACCTCTTTGGCAGAAGAGGTTGTAGAAAAAATGCTTTGAAAAGTAAAAAAACAAACAAAAAACCCCCCCAGTCACATTACCCCCCCCACCAAGCCACGCCCACAGAACCGGTAATAACAAATTTTACATTTCACCACTGATTTAGATTATTTGCAATTTAAAACAGTCAAAACTGGTGTCATTCAAAACCGAGGACTGCACACGGTATACAAGTTATGCAAATAAATTTAAAACATATTCTGAACACAAAGTACATCAGTTATTTGACAACAACAAAAGGATATGGACATCTTTGTCACAAATTTGTCATGAGGGTCTGTGGATTGAGGAAAGGTCTCCAAATCCTTCCCGAGTTGTTTGATCTGCCCTTCCATCTGTTTCAGGCTCTTTTCCAAGCTCTCTGCTGAAACTAAATGCATGTAAACCACAAAGATACATCTTTAATTATTGATAATTTTTAAAGGATGGGATACACAGAAACGACTCCAGTTTCATAGCATAAACAAGTTACTTTAGACAAAATAAGATAATGCATGCATTTACTATTTCAAGAAATGAAAACCTGTTTCATGGTCAATGTAGGATTATACACATTCCTCATGGAAATTAAAGATTGAAAGATAATAAGAATCATATCCATGGAATTCATTCTAAAAGGAAGATTTTCTAACGAGATCCTGTGTCTAAAAAATTCTTTATAACCTGCAAATATATTATTATTATTATTATTATTATTATTATTATTATTATTATTATTATTATTATTTCCAGGACCGATAAATATAACCAATAACATATATTTCGCCTGAGATCCTGACTTCGTGTACCCAATAATCTGATCATCAGTCATTGAACTATTTCAGATCTTACAGTTGACCTGTTAGCTCTAGTAACTTTTCTCCCACATTGTTACAAAACAAGGTTCTCAAACATGTAATTCTTTGAGCATTAACAAATCAGAACGTCATTTTTCCTTATCAGAATATTGCTTATATCCTGAGCTATTCTGTAGCACCAACTTTCTCTTTCAAGGGGATCAACCAGTGGTGAAATTCAGGCGGTTCTATCCGGCTCGCGCGAACCGGTAGCGCCGGCGGCGGGAGGCTCCAGCACTAACATACTATTAGATGCTTACCATCTGAATTTTTTAAAAGAAATCTAATCTCCAATTTTATTGGCACCACGACACGTACAAACAACAAAGAAGCCCCCAAAGTGTTTCAGATCTGAGGCACTAATAACCATAGGACATTTAGGCTTCTTTGACTGCTTTGATTGTCCCACATTATTCCTTCTAAAGGTGCTTTTTCAAGAGGCAACTGGACTTTCTGTTTTTTTTTCTTTGAAGATGTTTCCCTTCTCATCCAAGAAACTTCTTCAGCTCTGACTGGATGGTGGGGAATGCAAGGATTTACCACTCTTTGCAGACAGCTGGTCATTTGTATTCTTTTAGACAGTCCTTGAGGCCACTTGGAGATTTATCTGTGTCCTGCGGGTCACCTAAGTCAGTGATGGTGAACCTTTTTGGAATTGAGTGCCAGAAACGTCACGCGGAAACATCACACGTGCATGCTTGTCTAGGCTGCGCTCCAAAAAACCCAAATTTCTGGGTTCTAGCACGCATGAACGCCCGACAATCAGCTGACTGGCACACATGCACAAGCCGGTTTTCGGCACTGCCGAGCACGCAAAGGGATCGTGCTCTGGAAAAGCCAAACTTCCAGGTTCTGGCGCGCATGTGCATCTGACAATCAGCTGGCCGGCGCACATGTGCACACCGGTTTTTGGCACTGCCATGCACGCAAAGGACAGCTGATTATCGCGTGCGCATGCTGCCAGAAACCCGGAAGACAAACAGGCAAGGCCGCGCATGCCAGGCGACATGGCTTCGTACGCCATATGTTCGCCATCACGGACCTAAGTAGTGCAAATGGGTGTGGAGCCTTCTTGGAACTGTTGAAAGGACTGTGTTGTAGACTGGAGATAGATGATGTTGTATCCCTCCCCCTCTGTTGAGAGGGCTGCTCAATTTTGACGCAGATGGCCTCTTTGACTCTTCTTTCAAACCAGCGGTTCTCTTTGTCCAAATGCGGACTTTGTTGTCTTCAAGAGTGGCCTTTGCTTTTTAAATGCAGCTGGACTGCGGAATCTACACCTGATTTGGGTTTGTTCTCCTATGTCTGTGATGGTGAACCTATGGCACACCTGCTGGAAGTGGCACACAGAGCCATCTCTCCGGGCACGCGAGCCTTCACCTGCTTCTGTTCCGGGTTCCAGTGCGCCGGCCAGCTGATCTTCACACATGCAGGAGTACCGGAAACCGCAAAAGCAGCCGGAAACTGGAAGAGGAGTCGCTGGGCGTGCATATGTATGCTGGGAAGATGATATTCTTGTTTCTGGTGTGCGCATGTGCACCGGCCACCTGGTCTTCCGGTTTCCGGCACGCATGCATGTGTGAAGACCAGTTGGCCGGTGCACACACCAGAAACCGGAAGATCATCTTCCCAGCACACATATACGCGCCGGGTGACTGCTCTTCCAGTTTCCGGATCGTATGCGCAAGCTCCCGTTTGGGCACTCGGTGCCGAAAAGGTTCGCCAATACTGTCCTATGATGTGCCCTGTGTTTATGAAAGTCCAGTTGCCTCTTCAAAAAGTACCTTTGGGACAACATGGCCTGGATGACTGAGAATCTCCATAGACATTATTCCTTCTCTTTATAGGCATTGTCATTCACCTGCTTTCTTTCTGAACGAAAAGCTAAGAGAGAAAAACTTCAAGATTAGACAACAAGCATAAAAACAATGTATCGGCAGACACTTTCTTGGATATGACGCAGGAAGAGGAGTAGAACAAATGCAAGATATTTTTTTTTTAAGGCATGAAGGTAGGTGAAATCAGATTTAATTTCCTAAAACTTTTTTCTTTTTCTTTTTTTTGCTCTGGCCTTGTAATGATTAACCTTTTATTTCAAAGGCAAACATGGAAGCCATGGAAAATATTTTAATTCCCCAGTTTGCTGCTTTTTTTTTTTTTCCCTATGGTAACACTCTTGTACTCTAGATGGTGTGATCTGAAACATAATCACTTTCCCCCCCACTCCCTATTCCCTGCTAATTTAAGATAAGGGAAAGTCATCTTGAAAGAAATAGAAATAACTGTGAATGGAAATTCATGACTGCAGGCGGAGGTTAATGCATACTGCAAAGTTAAAATTCTCCATTCGGAAATCATTCATTGCGGTCAGAGTTTAAGAAAACAAAACATAAATATCAGTTTTAATACAGACCTCTGCTTGCTTTGTCTAAGTGCTGCAAGTCTTCAAGAAAGCGCAAAACATTCGGGTATTTTTCTTCACAGACTTCAGCCAGGAAGTGAAGCAGCGTTATCGTCTGATCAGCTGATTTGGTATCCTTTAACTAGGCAGCGATAAATACATCGTTAAAAGAATTAACGTGTTTCCATTTCATCTTATTACACGTTCACTTTTTACTCTCTAGCTTTAGCATTAGATTTAACACTGAATTTAGACCGATGAGTTAAACATGGGATGTAGGAGGGTCTTTGAACGGAGACTGCCTGATAACCTATAAGCGCCTTTGTTCTATCAGGAAAGAGTAGATTGAGAGCAGGGGTGAAATGCCCCCCCCCCACCATGCCCAGTTGAGCCGCACAATCATCAGAGGCTTTTTTTTTTTAGTTTTAAAAGCATTTTTTCTACAACCTCTTCGGCCGAAAAAATGCTTTTAAAAGAAAAAAAAAAGCCTCTGATGATCGCGCGGCTCAGCTGGGATCGTCAAAGGCTTTTAAAAGAAAAAAAACTTTTCTTTTAAATGCCTCTGACAATCCCAGCTGAGTTGCCTGCTTAAAGCCTCTGCGGATCAGGCAACTCAGCTGGGATCATCAGAGCCTTTTGAAAGCATTTTTTTTACAACCTCTTTGCCGAAGAGGTTGTAGAAAAAATGGTTTTAAAAGTAAAAAAAAATAAAATTGGCCACGCCCACCCAGTCACATTACCCACCACCAAGCCACGCCCCCAGAACCGGTAGTAACGAATTTTAGATTTCACCACTGATTGAGAGATAAATTATAGCCATAGCACTTAGACTTATATACTGCTTCACGGTGCTTTACAGCCCTCTCTAAGCAGTTTACAGAGTCAGCCTATCGCCCCCAACAATCTGGGCCCTCATTTTACCCACTTCAGGAGGACGGAAGGCTGAGTCAACCTTGAGACAGTCAGGATCAAACTTCCAGCAGTTGGCAGAATTAGCCTGCAATACTCTATTCTTATCACGGCGTCACCCCGGCTCTTTATGATAATATATCTAACTTTAAAATTCAACGAGGATGATATTAAGATATCCATCATAACTTGAGCCACATCCAGCTAGTGGTATTGCACCGAGAGAGTTAACGTAGACAAGATGGCATATGCCATCTTAAATGCAACTTACTGCTGTGGCTCCATTACCTAAGCCTGTGTCATCGGCAGGAGAGGACTCCGAGAGTGAAGGAGAGGAGTTGGCAAGGCCTCCCTCTCCAGGACCCTCCTCTCTGGCAATGCCTTCGGTGTCCGCCGAAGGGCAAGAGATAGGGCCGGGGCCAAACACGTCCACGCAGCCACAGGTGGACAGTGATGAGGGAAATGAGTCTTGGCTGGATCCTCGGCAGTGTCGCAGAGATAAGCGCGCGCAACAGAAGAAAAGGCATGCCAGAGATTAGGCTGAGTCACTGGACCACACCCCACAGGGTATAAAAGAGGGTGAGGTGGCCATTCAGACTCTGTGACGGACAAAACTAACTACTATCGAGTCACATTGCATCTTTGGAAACAACATTATCAGTCTTGGATTTATTTTACGAACTGGACAATTCTTGACGGTGTGTATTTTGTTTATTGAGTAAAGTTCTTGGCAAGCAGCTACTGGGTTGCTGCCAAGCTTCTTATTGGAAGAATTGGTTGTCTGTTTATTTAACCCCCGGCTGTCTGTTTGTGTGCGTGGGTGAGACGGGGACAGAATACTTACACACACATATACACTTCGTGCATGCTATTCTGTCCCGTATGAATACCAATCCATAATCTATGAAGGTGGGTGTATTTCAAATTTCTCTCAAAATACTTGGAGCCTTAAAACCTTCAGACAGTGGTTATTTGCTCAATTGTAACTAAGACCCAGTGGCCTAGAGGTTCAGGAGGTTGTGAGTTCGATCCTAGGTAGAGGTAGAGGTAGGGTCTCCTGCTTGGGCAGGAGGTTGGACTCGATGACCTGCAAGGTCCCTTCCAACTCTGTTAATCTCTTTAAACTTTAATAATGATTTAGGTTCTGAGGCTTATTGCTGACGTACAGCTGACACTATTTGTGCATAGATGGGCCCATCGTGCCATTGTCATTTGCAGCACATCATGTTATGCAAGCGCAGAAAGATAATTTAAATGTATGAGGAGAGAAAGTGAAATGTATTTAAATCTAGGCATTAGATCAATGCTAAAACATATAAAACATATAAAGAATGATTGCTGGAATTGGGTAGGTCTAGTTTAATGAAAAGAAGGACTAGGGGAGACATGATAGCAGTGTTCCGATATCTCAGGGGTTGCCCCAAAAAAGAGGGAGTCAAGCTATTCTCCAAAGCACCTGAGGGCAGGACAAGAAGAACTAGGGGAGACATGATAGAAAGTCTTCCAATATCTCAGGGGCTGCCACAAAGAAGAGGGAGTCAAGCTATTCTCCAAAGCACTTGAAGGCAGGACAAGAAGCAATGGGTGGAAACCAATCAAGGAGAGAAGCAACCTAGAACTAAGGAGAAATTTCCTGACAGTGAGGACAATTAATCAGTGGAACAACTTGCCACCAGAAGTTGTGGAAGCTCCAACACTGGAAGTTTTTAAGAAGAGATTGGACAACGATTGGTCTGAAGTGGTGTAGGGTTTCCAGCCTAAGCAGGGGGTTGGACTAGAAGACCTCCAAGGTCCCTTCCAACTCTGTTATTCTATTCTAACCCTTGACGTATCGCTGATGCTGTTTATCTTTTTTCCCCCTTGCCAGTAGAATAATTATATATGTAAATTTGCTGAGGTTCTGTCTCCCCCCCAATAAAATAGTTGTAAATATCTGTTCTGTCTACCCACCGCAACATAGCTTGCGCATGAAATCAATTAATTTTTGTGTTTCTCACCCAGTGAAGCAGAGAGAATGAATGCGGTTTTAGAAAATGCTCGTTTTTTCTCAATTTAAAAAAAAAAAACCGCTGTGTCTATCTAGAGCAAATGCGTGGGAGTGGGGGATAACTTGACAGCATTTACTAAGGTTGGAGAAATGGAAAAGTTTTTAAAAGGGGTGAAATGCTGGTCCATACGATTATTTGTGAGGAATGACTGTCACAAAAACTGAACACCGCTGTATATAAAAATGCACTTCTGCCCACTTTGTAGAATTTTGGTAAGTCAGAAGGAACCAATGTTAGTTGAATGCAGTGTAGATGGGCTACTGCAGAAGTGCGTATGATAAATAAGAAGAGGTAGGGTCAAGAATGAATAGATGCTAAGTAAATGTGGATTGAATGCAGGAGTGAATGGCCAGTAGAAGGGAAGCACGTTGAGGTGGCTTTGATTAGATAGGGAGATTGAACGAGGCTCAAATCACAAGGCAACCTATGAAGGAAACAGGAATGGAAAATGGAAAAAGAGGAAGAGGAAGGAGAAAGCAGTAGTTAACCTGTAGATAGAGAGTTGGTAAGATCCTCAAAAGGAAAGGTGAGATGCTAAAAGAAGAAAACATAATGGGTGAACTGGTGTACTGGCTTCAGAAGATAGGAAATGATGGATTGATGTAAGGAAGGTATGAGTAGAGTAGAGTAGAGTAGAGTAGAGTAGAGTAGAGTAGAGTAGAGTAGAGTAGAGTAGAGTAGAGTAGAATAGAATAGCCTTGGTAGAGCCTTGGTAGTACAGTGGTCTAAGGCACCCTGTTATTAAGCTGGTTATTAAGACCAGCTGCTTGCAATTACTGCAGGTTCGAATCTCGCAAGGCTCAAGGTTGACTCAGCCTTCCATCCTTTCTAAGGTAGGTAAATTGAGGACCCAGTTGTGGGGGCAATAAGCTGACTTTGTATAAAATATACAAAAAGAATGAAGGCTATTGCTGAGCACATTGTAAGCCGCCCTGAGTCTCCGGAGAAGGGCGGCATATAAATCAATTTTTTTAAAAAAAGAGAGAATAGAATAGAATAGAATAGAATAGAATAGAATAGAATAGAATAGAATAGAATAGAATAAACAGAGTTGGAAGGGACCTTGGAGGTTTTCTAGTCCAACCCTCTGCTTAGGCAGGAAACCCTACACCACTTCAGACATATGGTTATCCAACCTCTTCTTAGAAACTTCCAGCATCCACAACTTCTGGAGGCAAGTTGTTCAACTGGTTAATTTTTCTAACTGCCAGGAAATTTCTCTTTAGTTCTAAGTTGCTTCTCTCCTTGATTAGTTTCCACCCATTGCTTCTTGTCCTGCCCTCAGGTGCTTTGGAGAATAGCTTGACTCCCTCTTCTTTGTGGCAGTCCCTGAGATATGGAACACTGCTATCATGTCACCCCTAGTCCTTCTTTTCATTAAACTAGACATACCCAATTCCTGCAACCGTTCTTCATATGTTTTAGCCTCCAGTCCCCTTATCATAATAATAATTGGTTGCTCTTCTCTGCACTCTTTCTAGAGTCTCAACATCTTTTTTACATCAGGGCGACCAAAACTGGATGCTGCATTCCAAGCGTGGCCTTACCAAGGCCTTATAAAGTGCTATTAACACTTTACGTGATCTTGATTCTATCCCTCTATTTATGCAGCCTAGAACGGTGTTGGCTTTTTGGGCAGCTGCAGCTTTGGCTGTAGGTTCGACTGAAGCACCAGACTGAATCCGCCGCTTAGGCTGTTGAAATACTCACTTTACATAAGGAGCAGAGGTTGTATCCAAAGGTCTGCGCATTTCGCGATCCAGCGTTCATGTAGTTTCCCATTAACAGGACAAGTTCCAGAAGCTGACTGAAGTTTCGGCTCTTCTTTATCTCTTCACAGGCGGTGCTGACAGCCATGATTTCGGGCTTGAGGTTATTCACTTGCTCCTCAAACTGAAGCTTGAAAAGAATGGCGCCCAACCGGGGTCTGAGTCTCGTTACGCTGCTCATCTGGTTGAAAAAAGAAAGAGAAGACCTTACCCTTCACGATTTTGTGCCCTCTCAAGATACATTTGATCATCTTTGTTGCTTTTCTCTGCACTCTTTCTAGAGTCTCAACATCTTTTTTTTACATCGTGGTGACCGAAACCACAATTCTTGATCGATCCAGAGACAGAATCAATCAAGAACAGTCGTGTGAATGTTGTGAAGGACTCTCTTCTCCCTTCCAAGGTAACTCGTTAAAACGTTGCATTTGATGGAGCTGTTGCCGGACTGTGAATCAATGTCGCGGAAGGAACACGGAGACGCTAATGAGAAGTAGCTCATTTCAATGCCTTAACCAGAGACGTGGACTCAACATGGAAATACTCTTTTAAGTCTTGAAATCTGGCAGGAGACCGGCCCAAGGAAAAATATCTTGCAGGCTTCTCTATGGGTAAGTACACCTGATTCAACTTCTACCTTCAAGATAACGCTATAGGGCAGTGATGGCTAACCTTTTTGTCATTGCGTGCTGAAAGCACGTGCGCGACAGGGCGCACGTATGCCAGCACCCATAATGCAATGCATCTGTGACACACCCCCGCGCAGCCCTCCCCCTGCGTATGCGTGCATGACCCCCTGCGTCCTCTCCACCTGCATGCGCTCCCCTCTCCCTGCATGCACGCACTCCCCTCCTGATGTTCGGTTGGGTCTAGTAAGCCTCCTTGGGACCAAAAACAGGCCGTGGGGGAGTGGCCGCGTTGCCCCCCCCATGCCGTTTTGGACCTAGTAGGCTCCCTGCAGCCTCCTGTGTCTAAAAATGGACCATGGTGGCGGCTGCTGCACTCCCGCCCCCCATGCATGCACACGTGACCCCCCTGCGCACACGGTCTCCCACATGCGCGGCAGAGCCGAAAATCAGCTAGCCTGTGGGAGGTACGCGCGCATGTGCGGTGGAGCTGTGCTGGACGACTGCTCGCATGCCCGCAGAGAGGGCTCTGTGTCCCAGCTGTGGCCCGCGTGCCATAGGTTCGCCATCACAGCTATAGGGCATTGCACACCAGAATTAGACACAAGGACAATTTCCCCCCCATGCCATCACTCTGCTAAACAACTAATTCCCACAACCTGTCAAACTATCTAGTAGGGCTGTATTACTATTGTTCTTCTCATCCTTCCTATTAACTATCTCCTTATCTTCTTATGACTCTAACTTTGTGGTATGTATCTTACGATTTATATTCTTTTATTTAGTATCCTAGTATAATTTATGTTGATCGCTTATTTAGTATCCTATGACTATCACTAAGTGTTGTATCTTATGATTTATGATGAATGTAGTTTTATAATGACTAGGATCATGATTTATCATTTGTTGCTTTTATCTACTCTGAGAGCTTTTGCACCAATTCCTTGTGTGTCCAATCACACTTGCCAATAAAGAGTTCTGTTCTGTTCTATTCTATTCTACAGTGTTTTCCCCCAAAATAAGACCAAATTGTAAAATAAGCCCTAGCATGATTTTTCCAGGATGCTCGTAATATAAGCCCTACCCCCAAAATAAGCCCCACTTAAGATCATCAGCCAGACAGACACATGTTCGTACCGTATTTCCTCCAAAATAAAATCTAACCAGAAAATAAGCCCCAATGTGTCTTTTGGAGCCAAAATTAATATAAGACCCGGTTTTATTTTCAGGGAAACACGGTATTGTATTATATTGTATTCTGTGTTTTGTGAGTGGCTCCATAGGGAAGGAAGTCAAAAAAAAAAAGGCAAACACCGGGGGGGGGGGGTTCATTTATATTTAGCACCTCAATGATCTACAACCCATGTCAAAAAGCCTATTAGCCATTATTTCAATCTTATTAGGTTTACAGGCTTACTTTCATAGATTATAGATTTTACTCTCATGGGAATTTTATAGTAAATACATTTTATGTGTATGCATACATTAATCAGATATTAAACCTCTCCTAGATATCTTATAGTAAGTTAGTTTTATGTTACAATCTTCTAACATGGCCATTGTAGGCTTTTTCCATGTTACAGAAATATTTTATACTCTTGAGATTCACTTTTATTGGACAATGCTTTATGTTGGACAAAGGGAGCAAAATAAAATGAAATGATTGACATATCAACTTAACAGATGCTTGTTTACCAAATGTTTATCAGGACATCCTAGTTGCTACAGCACTGGTACTTTGCAAGCATCAAGAAGAATATCTAAGAGGTTGCTGTGCAGAATTGTTTCAATTTCAGTTCATCTGCACCAACTTTGCAAAAGACAGACCTGGTCAGTTATTCAGAAACAGGTGTTGTCATGCTCCAGCATATAACTTTTACGTACTGTTGTTGCTCTCTAGCCCCATCTAGTGGCTGGAGGGACCAATATGCCCCAACGTAAGATCTTTATATACTGTTGTTGCTCTCTAGCCCCATCTAATGGCTGGAGAGACAAATATCAACTATATTGTTTGAAGCTGACCCCACCCCATCAGCCCGCATTCTCAAACCAAGTGCACGCTGGGAAGCCAGACTCCATTTTCTTTAGCATTTGGAGAAGGCAAAAGCACAAAGAAGAATCCATCTTCATCTGTGGCACATGGTCATCCAAGGACAAACCCACATCCCACACGCAGAGTATCGCTGGTGAGATTTAGATTGCTTGTATTTATTCATTATATTTAGCAGTAACCCGATACTGTCTATCTTGTATTTGGTTCTTACTGTATGTATCCCTATTTTCCCCAGTTTCACCATATCCTGTTCTTTCAATAAAGCATTCAGATCTACACACACGGTCTGTTTTATTGGAGGATAGGTGGGTTTAGCTGCATGTTGAGCTGCATACAGACTTAACGTGTAGTGAGGACAGAACAGGTGTTTTCTGAGTGTTCTTAGACGTTACGAAGCCTCTTAGGAGCATGGTGGCTCAAGTGGTTGGAACGTTGGCAAGGAGATTAGTAAACCCGTGTTTGAGACCCGAGAGGGGTTGAGTTCCCATCCTTCACTCCTGCTCCTGCCAAGCACATGGAAGGAGCCCCAGCTGGGCATCCCCAGGGCAACGGTGATGTCCTTTCAACCCAGAAGCGCCTCAGTGTTTCTGACACAAGTGCAATGAAGCCTTTTTTTCCTAAGTGCTTTGGACAGCGCAAAGGTTTGATATATAATTATTAGGCATTTACTGCCACGCAAGTCTCAGGATGTTATAGAAGACTTATTCGCTTGTAAATTATTTTAAAAACATGGCGAGGTTGCCTCATACTTTATGTCTCACACTTATAATTAGAAATTGAAAGGCAAGCAGAGCTCGTTAATATAGCTGTAGAAAGAACAGAGGCAGAAATTCAAAAATGTCAGAACAGCCTCACTCATTGTCTTGGTGACACGAGCAAAGCCTTAAAATTCCTCCTGTCAGGAAATTACTTTAAGAAGTTGGTTAAAAGTCATACCAGAAATTTAGTGCAACAGAAGATTAACTCATTCCTGGTTACCAGCTACCCAAAAAGAAGCAAATAGAATACAATACAAAATTCACATAAACCATATTTCGGAAATGAATCCATCTATTTACCACAATAGCAAACTGCTCCGGTTCGGACAAATTCTTATATTCATTCTTCAACTTGGATAATTCACTGAGTTGTTTTTGGTCGGGAAGATGCTTTATTAAATTCTACATTTCATGGAAAGATACAAAATTTTAAAAGTTCATAGGGTTCCCCCCCCCCCTTACAAATGGTTTGCAAGACTTTCTATTGCAAAATTACTTGCACAACAAAAGAAGGGAGATAAACTTCTCTTCAATCTCAGAAGGCAGGGGTGTTAAACTCGATTTCATTGAGGGCCACATCAGGGTTGTGTTTGACCTCGGGGGGGAGGCGTGGCCAGGGTGGGCATGGCCAGCTCAATGTCACTCATGTCGGGGGCGCCTGTGGCGGCCCAAGTACTCTGCCAGCAAAAACGGAGCTTGGGTGGGCTGCGTGAGGCCCTCCCAAGCTCTGTTTTCACTGGCCGAGGCACCACGGGCCGGTCCTTCACTGTTTCCAGGGTGGCCCCGTGGGCCAGATTCACCCCATGGGCCTTAAGTTCGACACCCCTGTCATAAGGCAACAAAGCCAAAAATAGACAGTAAGGAAAAAATAATTACTTATTTTAAAAAACCAAGGATCCCTTAAAAATCCTAAAAATTAAATGTCAAAGTCAACAGGCTATTTATTACATTTTTAAACTGCCCAACTGCCCTATCTTAAAGAAATCTGCTCATAGACATAGTCTAAAGGAAACAGTTATCTTAATAAAAAAATGGCAAATATAATAAATACAGAAGGTATAATCTGCCATCTTTGGTGATAGTACCAAACTATATTGATGTATAAACACAAAATTACGGCTGGCTGCGCGTGTAACTTTGTCCGTCACTTTCACATATTTTACTACAAATGTGGTAGATTTTATGAAGATCTAATTAGTAGGAATACTTGTTTATAAAACTGTTAATCAAATTACCGCACCTGGATCATGGATTCTGACAGCTGGGCTTCGTCTATTTCCAGAATCATTATTTTTATTTCTTCATAAGGTACTCGAAAAGACCCTAAGAAAATAGCTAAGAACACACGTAAAGGCATTTCGGTATGTTTTTATTTGAGAAGGGCAAATTAAGCACTTTGGAACACTTCAAGCATTAAGGTGTTTTCAAGAGAACGTTTCCGTGGGTGGAGGAGGCTGGCCTGATTGCTGTGTTTTTCTGCGCGAGAACCAAGTCACACATCTGCTTTGGGGGACAAGAAAGGTCTGAAAAACAGGACGGATGGATGAATATGCAGGTGAGTTCAGAAGGGAGGGAGGGAGGGAGGGAGGAGAAGGAAGAAAGGAAGGAAGGGAGGATGAGAGAAGGAAGGAACTGTTGTGGCCCGCCAGAAGCCAGCAGAGCTGGCAGCAGAGTCGGAAAGTGAGGAGGTTGGAGAGGAACATGGGCCAGTCCTGGGAAAAGCTCGGACGAGGGCTCTACATCGGAGGCAGAGAGGGAGCTAGACAGCAGTGAGGCAGAGGAACAGCTGGAGCCCGTTCCCAGTGTGCGCATGCACAGAGCTGCCAGAAGACAAGAACAACTAAGAAAGCAGGGTCGACTTGGGAGTAAAGCCACACCTTGGAAGTGATTGGCCCCTCCCATAGGAAACAAAAGAGGAGCGAACGGGGAGTGGGCTTTTGCAGGAAACAATTTGGTCGGTTGGTCGTTGCAAGAGTGGAAAGTTCTGTTCGTGACTCTAAGAGACTCTGTGCCAAGTTTTGCCTTGCACTGCGTTTGGAAACTAGTTACCTGGCAGCTTTCCAAGCGAGATAAGGTTTGTGTTGATAAATATTCCTCTGAAAGACTGTTTGCCCGGCCTTGCTGACTGTGAATGAAAGGAATTCACAGTCGTGTAAATAAAAGGAGGTTTGCCGGGACCAAGACTCTGCTTCATGCTTTTTAAGGAAGCCTAGATCAGAACAGGACGGAAGGAAGGAAAGAAGGAAGGGAGAGAGAGAGGGAGGGAGGGATGAGAGAAGGACAGAAGAAAGGGATGGAGGGAGGAGAGAAGGACAGAAAGGAAGGAGGGAGGAAAGAAGGGAGGGAGGGATGAGAGAAGGAAGGAAGGGAGGGATGAGAAAAGGAAGGAAGGAAAATAGGAAGGGAAGGTGGGAGAGGGGAGGGAGAAAGGCAGGCAGACAGGAGAGATGATAAAAGGGTGGGAGGAAGGGAGGCAAGCAGAAAGGAAGGAAGGAAAAAGAGAAGGAACAAAAAGGGAAGGAAGGGAGGTGAGATGATGGATGGATGGATGGAAGGAAGGAAGGAGATAAAAGGAAGGGATGAGAGAAGGGAGGGTGGGAGGGATGAGAGAAGGAAGGAAGGAAGGAAGGAAGGAAGGAAGGAAGGAAGGAAGGAAGGAAATAAGACATCAGCAGTAATAGTAGGAGTTACAGAATACTGATAGCAACTAAGCTACTTACTTGGACTGATGGCAGCAGGAGTTTTGTGTCATATCCCAATGATTCTCATTAAGATACTTGGGGAAGGAAAGTCAAAGCTGTTGTCTATATCCAGAAATGTAATAAAACCGGCCCTTAGGAGGCTTGGGCATGAACCTTATTTGGGATGGAGTGGGAGAGTGGCCTGCTCATTTTTAGGGGCTTCACAATCACCATGACCAAATCTCTTTTACTATGGATTTATTCCGCACCGACCTTCAGAGGGGACTCTCTTTTGGCAAACAAATGAAATTATGTAAAGACTCCATATAGGAGTAATCAATTGTCATCTGACATCGCATTAGAACCAAACTGAAATATAAGGGGGGGGATATAAGGAGGGGAGAATGAAAAGACACAGGATGGAAACAGATGTGATGAAGAAAAGGAAAAACAAAGAATATTCAACGGAATCAAAGTGGGGATACCGAAAAGATACAGACTGAAAGAAAACTCCAATTTTAAGGGAAAAACAGAGTTGGAAGGGACCTTGGAGGTCTTCTAGTCCAACCCCCTGCTCATGCAGGAGACCCTACACCGTTCTGGAGAAATGGCTGTCCAGTCTCTTCTTGGAGCACCCGCAACTTTAAAACCAAAAACTAAATCCGCTTTATTTAAAAACAAATGCTAAATATACAACAGCTATTTTCCAACTTCTGTGCCTTCGTTTTCAATGCTCACAGCGATACATTCCTTCCCCATTCTCCCATTGCTTGCAATTGTTTCCGTCAAAACCATCTTACAAAGTAGAATTATACGTAATTGCAAAAGTAGCATTAACGCTCAATTATTTTTCTTTTCCAAACAATGACAGCTATTTACGGTACTTACAAAGGTTTTGCGCAATCTTTGGATCCAGGATTTTCAATTCTTTGATTCGTTTTTTAACAGGTTTCCTCTCGTCAAAGCCTTCGTCTCTTTTCACTGTCAAGACAAACGGTTGTGTGTGTGTCAACATACAGAAATGTTTATGTTGTTGCAATTGCGTAGAATTTGAGCTTCGGTGCAGTTTCAACATGAGTACTGAAGTTGTAAGTGTTAGGGTACAATTCATTGTATTCAGGTTTTACAAATGGCTGATGAGGCATCTACAGCAAAATTCCCCAACCTTTGCGGCCCAGATAGGGAAGGGGGGGGGGTTACAGGGAAACGGAGCCGTGTGACCAGTGGGCTGGGGCACATGTACGCATGAATGCACAGCTTCATTCAAGCAAGAGAGAAACTCCTTCAGGCTTCTCCACGCCAAAGAGACAGAAGGCCTTTGGTCCGTTTGCAAAAGCTTTTGGCCGTGAAGAAGAGAAGCCTTTGCGGGCGCGATCTCATGCTCCTTCAGACACACCAAGAAGGCCCGACGCGCCAAAAGTGGATCAGGTATCCTGAACAGGCAGTGTTCTGATCTAGGCTTCCTTAAAAAGCAGGAAGCAGAGTCTTGGTCCCGGCAAAATCCCTTTTATTTACACGACTGTGAATTCCTTTCCTTCACAGTCAGCAAGGCTTGGCAAACAGTCTTTCAGAGGAATATTTATCAACACAAACCTTATCTCGCTTGGAAAGCTGCCAGATAACTAGTGCCCCAAACGCAGTGCAAGGCCAAACTTGGCACAGAGTCTTTTAAGAGTCACGAACAGAACTTTCCACACTTGAAACAATCGAACGAACGAATTGTTTCCTGCAATTCGGAAAAGCCCCCTCCCCGTTCGCTCCTCTTTTGTTTCCTATGGGAGGGGCCAATCACCTTCAAGGTGTGGCTTTACTCCCAAGTCAACCCTGCTTTCTTAGTTGTTCTTGTCTTCTGGCAGCTCTGTGCATGCGCACACTGGGAACGGGCTCCAGCTGTTCTGCTGCCTCACTGCTGTCTAGCTCCCTCTCTGCCTCCGATGCAGAGCCCTCGTCCAAGCTTTCCCCAGCCCCCAGGTTTGGCCCATGTTCCTCCCCAACCTCCTCACTATCCAGCTCTGCTGGTTGCCAGTGGGCCACAACAGGCAGACTTGGTGAGTCAGCCAAGCTGAGCAGAATGCACTCGTCCCGCTGAGCTTCTGCTCTCATTGCTCCATTTTTGGAGCATCGGGAGCAGGTGGCTTGGCATACGGCTGTGTGTGGGGGGGAGAGACAGGAACTGAGACATGTGAGTGGCGGGCCGGCGCGCACATGCGCAGCTCCACTCACACAAGAGAGCAGAGAAGCCTTTGGGGTGCCGTTGGTGCGCACCGGCCCACCTCTCACATGAACTGGTTCCGAATAGGACACAGCCCGATAACAGGCCTTGGCCCGGGGGCTGGGGATCCTGATCTACAGAGTGTTGTAAATTATCCTGAATCTATTCAATTTACTGGTGAGGTTTCTTAGGGAGCATTAGGTTCACTAATAATGAATGAAAAATTCCATGCAACCTACAGTACGTCGTTAGAAGAATTCAGCTCTCACCGTTTGGCCAAGAAAAGTTTTTATGTCTGCTTACAGGTGTGTGTATTATGTATAACCCTATTCATCTTTTCCATGAAGTTTCATACTATTTAAGGACTGCGTTAATAAGAAATGTAGGGCAAAAGGAAATTATCTTTACCTCAAAACAAGTCAGCCATAGCAACTATTTGTCACTGCATTTATATATGGCTTATACTGTATATGCATTCATACATGGTTCAGCTACCATATATACCATTTAATAGAAAATATAGAGATGTTATGGCTACCGCTTACATATTAGGTGGAAGGATTTGATCTCAACTTTTGCTTCTTAGTAAGTTTATGGGGAAAAAATAGTGAAGCGACTTGGGTTCTGTTGTTTGATGCAAATAAACACCAAGAGGAAAGACATGTACAAACATACAGAGAGAAGCAGCACATGGTCACTAAATGAATTTTTGAACCTAGCTGCTACTCCAATTTTATAGCCATCTATTAATATCTGGGATTCCTACACAGAAACATAATTTCAATATAGATAGTCCTCAATTTATAACTAGTTGCTGAGTGACCATTCAAAATTCTGATGGGCCCCACAAAAGCTAAATTCGAATCCAGATCCAGATCCAAAGTTTTGATGTCCACTCCTAGGGTTAGGTGACTGCATTTAGAGCCTACATGTATAGCCATGCAGTCCCCCGTGGCTATGCGACCACAATTTATGCTATTTTAGATTATTTCTGGCAAAAAAACTAACCCCTGGTGACAATGGGTGACAACTGCAGTGCTTACTCAACACATATTGTGCTTGTTTAACTGCCACAAAAAAAAAAGTACATCAAATCAGGTCTGCTCACGTGGGTGGCCTACTTTACAATCATATGAACTTACAACCGTAATTGTGGGCTCAGGCGCCATCGTAACTTGAGGGCTACTTGTATTTAGTGGGCATTTTCTGCTTTCACAGGAAGTAAACCAGGGGTGAAATGTTCCCAGTTCGGACCAGATCGCCCGATCCGGTAGTGATGGAGGTGGATGGTTCGGAGAACCGGTAGCAAAAGTCCCTGCCCCCCCTCCCATGCCCAGCTGAGCCGCGCAATCATCAGAGGCTTTTTTTTTTATTTTTAAAAGCATTTTTTCTACAACCTCTTTGGCTGAAAAAATGCTTTTAAAAGTAAACAAAAAAAGCCTCTGATGATCACGTGGCTCAGCTGGGATCATCAGAGGCTTTTAAAAGCATTTTTTCTACAACCTCTTTGACCAAAGAGGTTATAGAAAAAATGTTTTTAAAGGGAAAAAAGCCTCTGTTGATCAGGCAAGTCAGCTGGGATCGTCAGAGGCTTTAAAAAAAAAAAAGAAAGCTTCTGCCCATCAGTCGTCAGCTGGGATTGTCAGAGGCTTTAAAAGCATTTTTCTAACAACCTCTTCAGCCGAAGAGGTTGTGGAAAAAATGGTTTTAAAAGTTAAAAAAAAAAAAAAAGAAAACAAAAGTTGGCCACACCCACTCAGTCATATTACCCACCACCACCACCAAGCCACACCCACAGAACCGGTAGTAACAAATTTTACATTTCACCACTGAATAAACCCATTGAATAGTCTCGACCACTGAACTTCATTTTCAAAGACGAAGTAGGGATAGGATTCACTTTTTTTGCATTTTCTGTGCTGCTGTTTCTTCTTAGAATGTTTTCAGTTTGAATGTAAACCTAAAATAACTTCCTTTGGTCATTTACTCCTCCTTCTGGGTATATTACATGGTGAGAATTATTTTTTCCAAAGGGCTTAGCATATTTTAAAAAGAAATAGCCCAAAACAATCGGCCTCCCGCCAAATTATTGCTCATAACTAAAATACATGCTATATTTTCCCAGCTTTTAGTCACACTCTCCACAGTCTAATAATAGAGTAAACAGTCATTTTAACAGCTCGGTGGAGATATTTCGGGAGTAAGTACATGCTTTCCTTAATTGCATTATACGAGGAGAGCTTAAATGGAAAAGTGAAAATAATACTGTCGGCTAAGTTCTATTCCGTATGTGCCGCAGTTATAAATGATGGCAACCTCAGTTATTAATGCAACAATTATCATATGACATGCATAAGTATTCATCAGCTGTCGTGACAAGAACCGCAGGTGTTTATTGAAAATAAAAGAGGCTGCTTTTCTAAGAGGAGGCTTTAAATCAGAAAAATAATTAACGTACCATTTTTCTGGCAACAAAAGGTAAGTTCCAGCTTGCACAGCAAATCGGTACTTTCATATTTCCCATCGTTGGCCATTACCCAGAAACAGTTTTCAGTCATTTCCTGGGGTCTAATCTGCAGAGGGAATACAATACATCTTAATTTCCTGTTATCGTTAATGCCATATTTTGTAAGGGGTCGCAAAACATGTGACTTAGGGCAATCTGAAGGCCACCAGCCATCTACAGTCTGCAGATTCCTGAGTGGGGGAAAAAAACCTGTGCTCTTTTGGAGAATGAGGGTAGATTTGTGGGATAAAAATCTGTGTTTTTAACTCCTTCAGACTCTTTAAAATAGCAGAGTCCGCATCAAAATAAAAATAAAAAAATCAGCTTTACATTTCGTGCTAACTCCGCTGCCTTTTGAAGTGAGGCTTTCAACTGACTGTGGTTCAAAAGTCAGAAGTATATTTGTTTCTATACTTAGCGCCCAACTCCAAACAACTCTGGGCAGTTTACAAATTGTTTTAAAAACGCATTAAAACAAGTTCTGTACTTCTGACCTAGCTCCAAGTGATCAGTTACAGAGATAGGATATTCCTCAACCAATGAACGTTATTGATTAGGACATAGAACTGGGGCAGAATAAAACATGCTAGAGATGTTAAGATTATTCAGGATATGTAGACCACAGTACCATGGGCTTAAACAGATCCTTAAACAGACCCTTTTAAGAGCTATTTAGATTAGATCCTTTTAATAGATCCTTTTTCAGGACGCGGTGGCTCAGTGGCTAAGATGCCGAGCTTGTCGATCGCAAGGTCAGCAGTTCAGCAGTTCGAATCCCGTGACTTGTCCCAGCTTCTGCCAACCTAGCAGTTCGAAAGCAGGTAAAAAATGCAAGTAGAAAAATAGGGACCACCTGATGATCGCGCAGCTCAGCTGGGATCGTCAGAGGCTTTTAAAAGCATTTTTTTTTTACAATCTCTTCAGCCGAATCTTATGATTCTTGATTAATGTATTTTTTTATGTACAGAGAGGATATGCACCAAAGACAAATTCCTTGTGTGTCCAATCACACTTGGCCAATAAAGAATTATATTCTAATTCTAATTTCTCCTTAGTTCTAGGTTGTTTCCCTCCTTGATTAGTTTCCACCCATTGCTTCTTGCCTTCAGGTGCTTTGGAAAATAGCTTGATTCCCTCTTCTTTGTGGCAATCCCTGAAATATCGGAAGACTGCTGTCATGTCTCCCCTAGTCCTTCTTTTCATTAAACTAGACATACCCAGTTCCTGCAACTGTTCTTCATATGTTTTAGCCTCCAGTCCCCTAATCCTCTTTGTTGCTCTTCTCTGCACTCTTTCTAGAGTGTCTTACCTTGGACCAGTTGACTCTTTTCATGGTCACTTCAGGCTTAAATTCTTTTTTAGGTTTCAATCCGAAAGGCAGCGATTGAGAGGCAGGGGAGCGTTGACCCCCAGGTAAACCATGTAGCGGAGGTGGGGGTGGCGGGATACCAACAGGAAGATGGTTTTGCGACCCACTAGCAAAGGCAGGTGGGAGTGGGGGCGGAGGAGGTGGTGGTGGAATCGTTCCAGTGGAAGATCCTGGTGATGGGACTACATCTGTGGGGCCTTCAAGAGATGTCAGCGGAGAAGCGTCGGTTGAGCCATTCTGAAAAGAAGAAAATGCTGGTATTTGGAACTTAAAACACTTTGTGTAGTGACATTTGGAATGTAAACATTTTTTCTTCAAAAACAAACAGAACACAAGTTAGTAAATTCCGCCATCAGTAAATTCAAGTAAGAATGGTTCCTTTATAGAAAATAAACTACCCAACAAGGCAAACTTAGATCTTTAGAACACAATTTCGGAGGGCAAAGAAAAATCGAAGTAGGTGAAAGCAAAAACCGTTCCCAAAATATTGGTTTCAATCAACTGCCAGGGTATATAATGGGATGGAAGGACACGAATTGTAAGCAAGTAGTATTTTTAATACTGTAATGTTGTAATGATTCCTCCAATTTTTACATGTTAATATTTTGTTCCTCTTTTTGGATCTTATACATTATATAACTTTTGTCTTAAATATAATTCATCACTATTTATAATTTCACGATTTTATTCTGTGATCCCAACTGTATTATTCGTTATCCTGATATTTGCATTGTCCCTAAAATTTAATAGTGGGTTTTGCAATCAAAACGTATTCGGGTATCTTTAATCACTTAGGAATATGAAAAAACTGTGAACTTCAGCAGATATGTAAATTCCTTCTTATTTACTTTATTCTATTGCTATGGGTTTTTTTCATTTTTTTTTCCTCTTTCCTGTAAGTGGGAGTGTGAATGTGTGTGTGTGTGTGTGTGTGTGTGTGTGTGTGTGTGTGTGTAAAATAAATTGTACCACAGGAATAGTCAAGAACTATTTTGCCCCCAGGTGAGAAGGTATGTCTATTTCATCTTTTTTTTCCCTTCGCTTATGTTGCTTTTTAAAAAGAAACTGATGATTATTGTGAGTTTTATGGCTAATCCATTTAGTCTGGTTCACTGAAAAGCAACAGATAAGCATATTTATTTTATAACTTTTCATATATATAAACTAAGTTTGAATTATATTAGTTTCAAGAAAGACCTGAACCAAAATGTACTGCCTGATAATCACAATAGCCACTTCTATCTGACTTAACCTGATGTGCAACTTGACTTTTCTATTTTTTTAAAAAGTGTCATATTTAACTACAGGGCCTGCAGCATTCGCATTTCCACGGCAGACAACATCCCAAGGAAGTGGGCCAAATGTATCATCTAAACCAGTGTTTCTCAACCTTGGCCACTGGACGATGTGTGGACTTCCCCAGCTGGCTGGGGAATTCTGGGAGTTGAAGTCCACACATCGTCTAGGGGCCAAAGTTGAGAAGCACTGATCTAAACAATCCAACAACTAACAAACAACACTCATCCCGTGTAAAGGTAGACCTCAACTTAAAACAGATCATTTAGTGACCATTCAAGACTACAGCAGCACCGAAAAAAAGAGACTTAAGGACCGTTTTTCACAGCATCCCGATGGTCACGAGAACAAAATTCAGACGCTTGGCAACTGGCTCGTATTTACGACAGCTGCAGTGTCCTGGGGTCATGCAATCCCCTTTTGCAACCTTCTGACGAGCAAAATCAAAAGAGAAACCGGAGTTACTAATATAAACAACGGCAGTGATTCATTTACCAACTATGGCAAGAAAGGTTGTGAAATAGGGCAACATTCACTGAATGGCTTTCTCACTTAGCCACAGATAATTTTGGGGTCAACTGTGATCATAAGTCGAGGATTGCCTGCGATTAATTTGAACTAGCTAACCAATGAGATGGCATTTTTAGCAGAGGAAGGAAGGAAGGAAGGAGGGAGGGAGGAGATGAATGGAAGGAAGGAGATGAAAGGAAGGAAGAAGGAAGGAAGATGAATGGAAAGAAGGAGATGAAAGGAAGGGACGGAGGGAGGGAGGAGATGGAAGGAAGGAGGGAAGGAGATGAAAGGAAGGGAGGGACAGAAGAAGAAAGAAAGGAAGGAGATGAAAAGAAGGAAGGAAATGAAAGGAAGAGAGGGAGGGAGGGAGGGAGGGAGGAGATGAATGGAAAGAAGGAGATGGAAAGAAGGAAGGAAGGAGATGAATGGAAGGAAGGAAGGAGATGAAAGGAGGGAGAAAGGAAGGGAGAAGGAAGGAGATGAATGGAAAGAAGGAAGGAGATAATGGAAGGAAGAAGAGGGAGGGAGGGTGGGAGGGAGGGAGGGAGGAAGAAAGGAAGGAAGGAGGGAGCTAGCAATAACACTGATACCAAGCAACTTGGAAGTTCTTTAAAATAAAAGGGCATTGTCCTTCCTGGGGACAATCACAAGTATTGTGTTACATAATGGTGAAGGAGGTGAATTTAGGGAGATAACAAGAACAGAGGGCAATAACTCTCATTACTAATAATTACTAGCTGGTATTGAAAATGTGTCCTCCATGATAAGCCACTAAATTCATATAGTCCCTTTTAAAGACTGTAAGTTTGTAGCCATTGCTATACCTGAACTACCATGTGCCATTGTCTACCTGCCTATAAAAATGTGTGCACCAAACAATACCGGTTACCTTTCCTCCTATTTCTACTATTCTACAATTATATTTCAAGGATTATTGCCCTCATCACATCATCCTCAAAAGAACCCTCACTTCCAACCCAAGCTTTTCCCACCAAGGTAGAGGCCAAAAGAACGGAAAAATGGTACCAGGTATTCCTTATCCAGAAATGACAAAGCACGGAGTCGAAGTCTTTCATTGTTTTTTATATTAACGTGGCATCATACGATTGTTGCTAATTATTTTAACTGCACAAACAAGTCTTGTGTAAATGCAGATTATTATTTTTTTTTTACCTCATTTTGACAAGGTTTTCTTGCGCCTTCAAGGAGGCTGATCTTTTCTTCCGTCTTCTGAAGCCGTGCCTTTGTCTCTTGGTGAGCTACAAACTCTTTTTCAAACTGCAACAGAAACGGGAAGGCGCCGTGCATCGTTAAATGTACAGGTGTAATTGTTCGTTGCCCTGAGTATTTTCATGCTATGTTACCCAGATTTGCATATTATGCGATCTGTAAGTGGCTCTGGGGAGGTATGAAATCTCAAACTGACTTGTACTTCAAAACCAGGGAGTGAGATGGATTAGACTCTGCTTGGCTCTTGACAAGTACATTGATTTTCATATCTTTTCCTTAAAACTCCATTACTGGTTTCTGCGCAGGATAAACTGCTACATCATTTCCAGGCTCCTGTAAGGATAAGATGCTTCATCCTGGGATATTTTTCAACAAATCAATCCACTGGATTCAAGACTACCTTCATCATCTTATCCTTAAGATGTTGTTTTGAATGCTGTCCACCATTTCTTTAAATGACACCAATTTATTAGATCAGAAACTGGCATCTGGTCTTGGTAAAAATAGAGTAGAGTAGAGTAGAGTAGAGTAGAGTAGAGTAGAGTAGAGTAGAACAGAATAGAATAGGAATAGGATAGAATATGAATTAGAGTAGAGTAAAGTAGAGTAGAATATGAATTAGTAGAATAGAATAAAATATGAATGAGTAGAGTAGAAGGAGACGACAGAGAACGAGATGGTTGGATGGAATCACTGAAGCAGTAGGCCTGAGCTTAAATGGACTCTAGGGGATGGTAGAGGACAGGAAGGCCTGGAGAAACATTGTCCATGGGGTCTTGATTTGTCGGACATGACTTCGCAACTAACAACAACAAGAAGAAGAGTAGAACAGAATAGAATATGAATTAGAGTAGAGTAGAATAAAAAATTAATAGAATATAATAGAGTACAGTAGAGTAGAGAATTAATAGAATAGAATGGAATGGAATAGAATATGAATTAGTAGAGTATAATAAAATATGAATGAGTAGAGTGGAACAAAATAGAACATGAATTAGAGTAGAACAGAACAGAACAGAACAGAATTCTTTATTGGTCAAGTGTGATTGGACAGAGAAGGAATTTCTCTCCGGTGCATATGCTCTCACTGTACATACAAACCACAAAGTGATATAAGGCAACACTATGAGTTTTTATTACCACCACGGTCTTCTCCTTCGCCAGAAGGCAAATGCAATGTGTGAGAACCTCCAAAATTAGTCACATCAGCCACTTCTTCTTACCCTTGAATTTCAAATGAATCTGGACAAGTGCTAGCCAACAGCCATATACTACAGGTAGTCCTCGACTTACAACAGTTCGTTTAGTGACCGTCTGAAGTTACAACGGCACTGAAGAAAAGGACTTATGACCATTTTTTAGTTACAACTTTTGTAGGATCTCCATGATCATTGGATCAAAATTCGGACGCTTGGCAACTGGTTCATACTTACCACCGTTGCAGCGCCCCAAGGTCAGGCGATCAAATCTTTCGACAAGCAAAGTCAACGGGGAAAGCCAGACTCACTTAACATCCGGGCTTACTAACTTTATCAATGGCGGCGATTCATTTTACAACTGTTTGAAAGAAAGGTCGTAAAACAGGGCAAAACTTCACTTAACAGATGTCTCGCTCCACAAAAGAAATTTTGGGGCTCCATTGTGGTCGTAAGTCGAGGACTTCCTGCAGACTGTTCCATAAAGGACACACCTGGTACAGTTTACTCCAGAAATGGTAAACTGCTTGTCCAATTTTTACAATAATCTATACTAAGGGGTGTAATTAGAGACACGTTGCCAGTGTTATTTTTGTCGCTCTTCGAGAAGTTCTTCAAGACAAAGCTCCCAACAATGGCTAAAAAAGTTGGACCTGTGCATTGTAGGTATGCTCAGTGGGGCATAACAGAGGATGCTGGGAAGCCACATGCTTCTACAAGCTTGATGTAGCCTAACAATTCCAATAAGAAACCCAATTTCTCTTGCAACAGGTTGTAGTGTAGAATAGCAAGTGCATTTGGCTTTTTTATGCCCATGTTATTTTTATGAGTACACAAATTCGACCTAAATTGGGGCAACGTGGCTGTGAAAAATGTGGAGAATTGTAAGTAATAATTGGAGGTAATAAATGGAGTAATTGAGTAATAAATGGATGTCACAGATTCGCCATCCAGGATTTAGGAGAACGGATAAAACTGATTCCTTGTGGGTTTTTTTTTTTTCCTTAGTGGAATTTTTTGAACCATTTCCTCCCTGTTTCTTCTTATCCTAAAAACCAACGTCTGTTGGTTTTGCATCCAAGAAAATGGAAGATGAATGATAAGAAGAGGATGTGCAAACATTGCAACGGATAAATCCACACTCCAGAGTACAACAGTTAAAGGCTAAGAAAGCACAATAAAACAGTTCGATCAATCTCTTGATCCTTTAACTGAAAATAGGGCCTCCAGCTGTGGATCAGGGCAGCAGTTCACTACCACATTTCTTTCCAGCTGTTATGTTTTAGTAAAGGGGGGGGAGTGGCCAATATTTTGATTCACAAAGCTAGGTTTTAAATTAAACCTAAAAGCCCAATCTCTATTTTTGTTGTCTTTTCTCTTGTAAAAAAAAATGATTTTATTTTAAATCTCAGAGATTGCAAGACAGTTGGGCATGAACACGGGGAGGCTTGTGAATAAAACTTCTCTAAAGTTACCTTTTTCAAGAATTCTGAAGCTTTTCCTTCAAGTTCTTCCATTTTCTTCTGTTCAATACAGATATCTAGCAGAAAACAGCCTCTATAAATCTTCTGGATAGCTTTTTTACTGACTGGCCAATCTCAGAGAGAACAGTCAATAGCATGAGTAAAATTTATGCCAGTTCGTACCCAACCCTAAGATCAAGCAAAACTGTAAAGCAGTGTTGTAAAGAAAAATGCATATTTACATCACTTCCATTAATGACTGACAGCTATGCTTCAAACGGCAATGACTGAAGTTTTCATAAAACAGCTTTAAAACATTGGGATCACTTTTAACTGGCTATAAAGTCTGTAGAGATTCTCAGTCATCCAGATCATGGTTGTCCCAAAGGTACTTTTTCAGGAGGCAACTGGACTTCCTTGTTTTTTTCTTTTGAAGACGTTTCACTTCTCATCCAAGAAGCTTCTTCAACTCTGACAGAATCCTTCCATTCCCCATTATTCTGTCAGAGCTGAAGAAGCTTCTTGAATAAGAAGCGAAATGTCTTCAAAAGGGAAAAACACAAGAAAGTCCAGTTGCCTCCTGAAAAAAGCACCTTTGGGTTTAACTGACTATAAGCAAATAAGCAAACTATTGGCTCCAAGAATATTTTGGGGATAAGGGTTCAGGAAGTGACGATGCAAGCCAAAAAAATAACAGTTTGGAAGCATTTTCTTCATAGGTATCCGAGATGTTTAGCAATTACAATACTGTGTGTGACCAACCATACGCTAAATAAATAAATAAGCAATTACATTATTGATTTTATGTTTAGGTTTAGGTTTACTAAACTTCTATACCACCCTTCTCCCGAAGGACTCAGGGCGGTGTACAGCCATATTAAAACAAACATATACTCACAAAATTTAAAAAAAATTTAAAATAAATATATAAATTTGGATTTTGATAGATACTCAAGGAAATGCTATTTGTAAGTGTGTCGGGATCGTGAAAATATATATAGCAAGTATGCAGCTAAACCAATAAGAAAAAAAAAAAAGATTTATTGTGGCTTATTACCAAGTATATATATACATGCAGATACAACTGGCAAAAACTAATGTACATCATTATAGAACATTTCCTGAATTTAATTTCTGGAACTATTCATTCATTCATCACATTTATGTAGCTTCCTAATTCATATGTGGCATAAAATAATAACGGTCCCTATGAAATCTGGGATCAGCAACTCCCCTTTTTTTTTAAAAAAATGTGATCTTTTATATGAGTATAAACAGGGAATATGAAATACCTACCCAGTATGTGACTGAAATTTATATCCAGCCTTTTTCGATAACTAAAATCTGGGTCCAGACCACTTCGATGTAAGACTACCTGTGAAACGCACTCTTCGATTAACTTGAAATACAAAGGCCTAAAAAAAAGACAAGAAAAGTATGTATTTTAATTTCATGCTTCCAAGGCGATATTGCTTTTAATGCAGGGTGACATGTTAGCAGTATTCCCGTACTTGAGGTGCTGCCACAAAGAGGAGGAGGTCAAATTATTTTCCAAAGCACCGGAGGGCAGGACAAGAAACAATGGTTGGAAACTAATCAAGGAGAGAAGCAACCTGGGATTAAGGAGAAATTTCCTAACAGAGGACAATTAACCAGTGGAACAGCTTGCCTCCAGAAGTTGTATGTGCTTTATCACTAGAGGTTTTAAAGAAGAGACTGGACAGCTTGTCTGGAATCGTATAGCGTTTCCTGCTTGAGCATGGGGTTGGACTAGAAGACCTCCAAGGTCCCTTCCAGCTCGCTTAATTTCAGTAGATGTATCTTCTAAATCCAGATGACCACATGGAGTGGAGAGTGAGGGTTATTTATACCCTCTCTTGGGCCTTGCCCTTGAGCTTCCTGTTCCTGTGCAAGAAATGTATTCTATTGGTTTTTGTAGGGGTCACTGCTTACTTTATAGGCTGTCTGAGTCGCCGGCTTGGTTGAAGCTTGCTGGGTGATACAATGAAGGGGCTTGTTGTGCCATGTGGTGAGCTCTGCTGCTAGACGGTAGAGGGCTAATCCTATTATGTCCTGAGGGGTCATATCTTAATCCCATCACCCTGGAGCTGAAGATCTTTTGTCTTGTAGATAGGCTGGCCCAGTCCTGCTGGGGCTATCAAGAAAGGTGGGGGCTGTTTTCCAAGAGCATGTTTCCCCTTTAGGGAAATGTAATATTTTACCTTTTTTTAATATTTTCCAAAAATATTTCATTCTTCTAGGAGAGGGATGGGTGCTAACTTTGTATAGAGGGGAGACATCTTCTGAAAGGCAGAAAGCAGCCACAGTCTTCCTGCTATAGGAAAACAGCCTCAAGCAGAAGCTTGGAGAGGCTAGTCTTAGGAATGGGTATTTTGCATCCATTCGGGAAACTGGGCCACACTATTCATAAACAAAGAACAGAAACTCTAAATAAGCAACACAAAAGGCAAGGAGCGAAAGCTGACAAGATTAGCTCAAACAAACAAAAACACTTAGGACAGTGATGGTGAACCTTTTTGGCATCGAGTGCCAAAAAGTTCATGCGGAAAAGTCGCGCACATGCCCTCGTTGGGGCCGCGCTCCAGAAAAGCCGAATTTCTGGGTTCTAGCGCATATGCGCGCCTGACAATCAGCTGGCCGGCGTGCATGCACAGGCCAGTTTTCTGCACTGCCGTGCACATGAAAGGATCGCGCTCCAGAAAAGCTGAACTTCCAGGTTGTAGCGCACATGCGCGCCCGATGATCAGTTGGCCGGTGCGCATGCGCAAGCCAGCTTTTGGCACTGCCCTGCACATGATGGGATCACGCTCTGAAAAAGCCAAACTTCCAGATTCTAGCATGCATACACGCCTGACAATCAGCTGGCCGGCGTGCATGCGCACACCGGTTTTCGAAACTGCCAGGCGCAAAAGACAGCTAATCGTCATGCGCACATGCGCTCCAGAAACCTAGAAGACAAACAGGCAAGGCCGTGTGTGCCGGGCGACATGGCTTTGCGTGCCACTTTGAGCATGCATGCCATAGGTTGGTTATCACGGACCTAAGATTTGCACTTCCCCTCTTGCCTGTAGAGCCAGCCATGACCCTTAGATGATCCTATAGGAATCTGGCCACAAGCCATTAAAATATTAAAGGCCATATTCTTACACAGGAACAGGCATCTCAATCACAAAGCCTCAAAGAAGGTATAAAACCCCACCTACTCTCAACCTCATTCAGCCACCTCAGAAACATGCTGCTGTCATTCGTTTCTGGCTACCAAATAAACAGAGATTTCCTTTCCTGCGGCCTGCCTCCATTTTATTTCCAGCGTATTTCTCCCGGCTTGGAACCAGACCTAATTTTTCTTCTTCCAACAACTGCTTTTTTTTCTGTGAACGAAAAGTGGCCTAGGCAGGATTCTCTTACAATGTTATTCCATAATGATGTGATCTTGCAAGGAAAATTGAGAGAATAACTGGCCCAAAGACGACACCTCCCCCACTCCCTCAGTAAGATTTTTATTCAAGAAGGTGGAGTAAAGTTAGATGTCACTAATCAAACGGCAGCACTTTGCAGTACTTGCCTATCATAACACCTACTCAAAAAAAAAAAAGTCACTTTTTTTATTCAAACTTCCTACCCGTGTAATTTGCATAAAAGCAGAAGAGGCTATTTCCAGAAAATCAGTTTGATTCCACCACAAAAATCTTTCTCAAAACTATCGCTTTGTATTATCATATCCAGGGGTGAAATGCTCCCAGTTCGGACCAGATCGCCCGATCCGGTAACAATGGCAGCGGGTGGTTCGGATAACCAGTAGCAAAAAATCCCTGCCCCCCCCCCCCGCATGCCTAGCTGAGCCGTGTGATCATCAGAGGATTTTTTAAAAACTTTTAGAAGCATTTTTTCTAAAACCTCTTCGGCCGAAGAGTTTATAGATGGCATTTAGATCCTAAAAAATTATCATGTATGTACTTGAATTTATGCTAAATGTTGGAGATGTGAATGTAATGATGCAACCTATTATCATATATGGTGGACCTGTAAGAAAATCAAGGCATTTTGGATAAAAATTTGGTGGGTGATGCAGAACATTTTGAAAAGAAGGTTGAAATTTACTCCTCAATTGTTTCTATTGGGCATAACTACGGACTGCACAGTATCAGAGACTAAATTGACTTTGAACTTAATATCAGCAGCTAGGCTGTTGGTAGCTCAATATTGGAAAAAGGACTCTTTGCCTACTATTGAAGAGTGGATATTGAAAGTAACAAACCTAGCAGAAATGGCGAAAATCTCAGCGTACTTGAAGGACCACACGCAAGAAAGATACGTATCGGAATGGAGAAGATGGATTGATTATATTCAAAATAAGTATCAGACAAGAAAATATCAAATAGCTTATGAATGAATGTTAGTATTAGAAGTATTAGGTTATCCATAGTGGAGTTAAGGTTTCAGGGGGGGAGTTAGTACTTTGAGGATAAGTAGATTAATCTAATTTATGATTGATTAAATGAAATACCTTGTATTTTGCTCTGGGAAGTCTGGGTGGGAGGGGGGATGAGGGGGGGAAAAGGATGGGGGGAACATGGGGGGGAGAAAATTTTTGTATTTTTTTTTGTAAAACTTTTCAATAAAAAAAGTTAAAAAAAAGTTGGCCACGCCCACCCAGTCACATTACCCCCCACCAAGCCACGCCCACAGAACCAGTAGTAACAAATTTTACATTTCACCACTGATCATAACTATTTATTTATTACCAAGCCCAAATTATGAAAAAGCAGCTCATTATTGTGCATTATCAAGGCAGCCTTTATCTGGTAAATTTTTCCACTCTCGCGATTTCATTTTTGAGGCCAAGAATACAAATGTTAAATCCAGAGGGCACATACACAGGGCACCCACATCTTTCTTCTGACTCCACTGAACAAAGGTAACAGTTGAAGATCTATTTTTATATTTTGAGGAGCTACAAGTTTTTTTTAGGAACGTGTCAACTCTTAAAGAATCAGAATTTTTCTCTCAAATTAGGCTGGCCTTCTTGGCCTGCCCCATCTGGCTTGACAGATGTTACTTCTAAATTCAGATTTATTTGAAGGTCTTCTATAAAACTAAGATACCGTAATAAAATCTGCAACAGGTTGCGTGATGTTTGTTACTTCGTAACAAATATCCAGATAGGAGCTTCAGCAAATTTTTTGTACCGTACAATTGTTTCCTTACCGTATAAAATTATCGTTTCGTATCAGCAAGAGGTGTTGCAGTATAGAAAGGAAGTAGTTTTCTGCGCTTGTATCCTTAACGGTATTCCACACTAAATTAAAAACATCATTTGCATCAGTGAACAAATTAAGGATAGAATATTTCAAATGGTTTGCGAGTTGTAGATATGTTCTTCTTTTCAAGACCTATTTAGATTTTTGCTGAAATTATGTAAAATTTTTAAAATTCAATCGGTGAGGAAAACTGATTTACCGTATTTTTCGGACTATAAGATGCACCGGAATATAAGACGCACCAAGATTTCGAAGAGGTAAACAAGGGAAAAAAGTTTTTGTCTTCCTGGGCCTGTTTTTCACAAAAATGTTGGTGCGTCTTACACACCGAATGCAGCTATTTTTGGCCTCCCAATACCCTGCCCTACGTGTCCCGTTTTTGCCAAAAACAGGCCCGTTTTTCACAAATACAGGACCTGTAGAGGGCTTGGGAGGCCTGCAGAGTGCTCCTGGGGGTTGGGGAGGGCAAAAACATCCCCCGTTTTTGGAAAACACAGTCCCATTTTTGGCCTCCCAAACCCCCCACGCATTGTATTTTTGGCAAAAACGGGACACTCGGGGCAGGGTTTCGGGAGGCCAAAAATGGCTGCATTCGGTGTGTAAGACACACCAACATTTCCACCCTCTTTTGGAGGAGGGGGGGGGAAGTGCGTCTTATACTGCGAAAAGTACGGTATGTTTTTGACTACAAAATGAGTCATCTGCCACAACCAATTTTGTTCCAGAACAACATAGCAATTCTTACATTTTATCCAGGATCCCAAACTTTAACTATCACCAGACGAGAATTGCCAAAGTTTAGTTTTACCATATAAATTGAGTCAACTAAGAATCAAACAACAACATCACAATTTGGATGCTGGCTACAAAGTCTGGTTTAATTGATTGCAAAATTCCCATTTTTTGGTTCTTTAAAGGATATTCGAATTCTGATCTGATGTCATCTAAACGGTGATAAAATTCAATCATATCTTCCTCTTTGTGTTCACTGAATACTTTCAGCTGGATATCCAAAGCTTCATTCTTTATGCATCTCAGCAGCTGCGGTAGGAAAGCATCAACAGTATTGTAATTAGTAACTGCCTCTTAAAATGAGTTATTTTGAACAAAACGCATGTATCCAAAGCTAATAATTTGGGGGATTTACCCTATTCAAATATGTACTTTGTGAAACAATTTTTACAGGAGGCAGTTTGCTCTGTCTTAATAAAAAAACAAATAAGTCTACAAAGCATTTCACACGTCTTCTCATTGGAATCTTTTTAATTTAAATATTAATTCAGGCGTACACATACTTACCGGCAGTCGCTCTTTTAATCCACAACGCATAAATTCATTCCGAATGTGGAGTCTGAAGTCCAAATCATCAGGAGTTGTAACCAAGGCATTGATGAACTGCATACAGGCTATCTACAAAATGCAAAAACTTTAATCTGCAGGATTTAGCTGGCCTTCATTGATTTGTAGCACTAGCACTTAGATTTATATACCGCTTCACAGTGCCTTACAGCCCTCTCTAAGCGGTTTACAGAGTCAGCATCTTGCCCCCAACAATCCGAGTCCTCATTTTACCGACCTCGGAAGGATGGAACGCTGAGTCAACCTTGAGCCAGTCAGGATTGAACTGCTGGCAGTCGGCAGTATATAGCCTGAAATGTTGCATTCTAACCAATGTGCTTTTATGGTTGTTGTCTTCATAATATGCCCTCAGTATGAATCATCCAGAGAAAACAGACACCTCTGGCATAGCCAACAGTAACTTATTATTTTATTGCTATGAACATTATGAAATTGTTATGTCATGAACAAATGTGTTAAATGTAAAATAATGTTATTCAAAAGAGAACAGCTATATCATTTCAGGGGATTATTAAACGTTTCCATTGTTTTTTCTGCCAAAAAACAATCATCAACTTTAGAAGTGATAATGAACACATTTTAATTTTTATTTTGGGGATTTAACGGAGTGTGTCCCAAAAGTGCTTTTTTTTTTCTCCAAGAGGCAACTGGATTTTCTTTTTCTTTTTTTTTTAAAGACGTTTCGCTTCTCATCCAAAAAGCTTCTTCAGCTCTGGCAGGACAGTGGGGAATGGAAGGATTTGCATTCCTTGCAGACAGCTGGTCATTTGCATCCTTTTAGAGGGTCGTTGAAGCACTTCCATTCCCCACTATCCTGTCAGAGTTGAAGAAGCTTCTTGGATGGGAAGCGAAACATCTTCAAAAGAAAGAAAAAAAAACCAAGGAAGTCCAGTTGCCTCCTGAAAAAAGCACCTTTGGGACACCCATGACCTGGATGACTGAGAATCTTTACAGACTTTTAACGGAGGTTAGGTTTTACAAATACTGGATAAACACGATTTCCAGTGCATTATTCTCTATTTAAAACAACATATGGTGTTTAAAAGAACAGAAGATGCCTCAGGCATTACAATTAAAAGAACTTTAGGGGTTAAAATCGAAGTGTGATTTAATTTAATTTAATTTAATTAATTAAATTTATATGCCGCCCCTCTCCGAAAACTCAGGGCGGCTCATAATACATTTAAACAATCATTAAAAAAGACATTAAAAAATTAAAAACATGAAAAACTCATTCACACCATTCATGGCCGGATCTCGCCAGATCACAAGAGCGAGATCAACGGCCCCAGGCCTGCCGGAAAGTCTTCACCGCTTTTCGGAAGGCCAATATGGTGGGGATGGTCCGGACCTCAGGAGGTAATTGGTTCCAGAGAGCTGGGGCAGCCACAGAGAAGGCCCTTCCCCACGGGCCCGCCATCCATCATTGTTTAGCTGACAGGACCCGGAGGAGACCAACTCTGTGGGATCTTACCGGTCGCTGGGAGCTATGCGGCAGAAGGCGGTCTCGAAGATAACCTGATGATGCTATTATATTTCCTTTAGGTTAAGTCTTTCGAAGTCAGACTTAACTTTTTGGGCACCAGGGATTGATTCTCTGATAAACAATTTTTCCAGGACGGGGAGTATGTGTGTGTGTGTTTGTGTAGTGGTTTTGTGCACTACCCAGATCCTGCGCATTTCTCAAATGAAATTTTGCTCGCTTGTGCAGACCGGTTCCTAACAGCTCATGGCCCGGTACCGGTTCACGGCCTAAGGATTGGGGTCCCCTCTTCTAGACGACATAGAAAGCTAGTATGTTTTGGAAAGGTATGTCTAGGTTAAAGTCAGTGGTGAAATGTAAAATTTGTTACTTTGTGGGCGTGGCTTGGTGTGTGGTGGTGGGGTAATGTGACTGGGTGGGTGTGGCCAACTTTTTTTTTTTTACTTTTTAAAAGCATTTTTTACAACCTATTCGCCCGAATAGGTTGTTCAAAAAAATGCTTTTAAAAGGTTTTTAAAAAGGCTCTGATTATCGCGCGCCACAGCTGAGATCGTCAAGAGCCTTTTTTTTTTAACCTTTTAAAAGCAGGAAGTAACGACACGCGGGTGGGTGGGCGGAGCCTTGCGCCACCATCGCTACTGGTGCTCTGAACCACCTGCCACAATCGCTACCGGATCATCCGATCCGGTCTGAACCGGGAGCATTTCACCCCTGGTTAAAGTGATTTAATAAATCTCCTCTGCTGAAAAAGGAAAAGCAATTAACGGCACCTTTCATAAAAAAAAAAAAAAAAAAGGAACGCAAATTCCGAAATCGTGATAGTGTAACTGCTTAAATCTCAATGTGTTGGTTGGTCAGGTTGTTGGTCCATGTTGGTCAGTTGGTTGATCGCCGATATTATGTAACTGTAAGTATCTATGCAGTTGATTTTTTTCCCCCTAACCTGGTAAATGTTTAACTACAGAGGCGGCATAGGAGAGACTATTCCCAAATTCTAAGTGTAATAGTCAATTTAATGAATGAGCATTATCTAGTTGCATCCAAGGTTGAATAATTGTCCCGGAATTCTCTTTTTCTTCAAGTATGCTTACTGCATTAGTTACATTTACTGGTTTTAAAACACCACCAAAAAACATTACTTACTTGCAGGTGGACTGAATTTTCCTCTAGACCCATCAGAATGGGGCCAAATCGGTCAATACCTCTCTCTTCGGCTTCTGTGGTCAAGGCTTTCAATATTTTTTCCAGGCTATGGAAGGAAGGAAAGAAGGGAGGGAGGGAGGGAGGGAGGAAGAAGAGAAGGAACAAAAAAGGGAAGGAAAGGATGTGAGATGGAAGGAAGGGAGGGAGGGAGGGACGGAGGGAGGGAGGAAAGAAGGAAGGAAAGAAGGGAGGGAGGGAGGGAGGGAGGGAGGGAGGGAGGAAGGAAGGAAGGAAGGAAACAGGGATGGAACAAAAAAGGGAAGGAACGGATGTGAGATAGAAGGAAGGGAGAAAAGAAGGGAGGGAGGGAGGGAGGGAGGGAGGGAGGGAGGAAGGAACAAAAACGGGAAGGGAGGGAGGGAAGAAGGAAGGAAGGAAAAAGGGAAGGAACAAAAAAGGGAAGGAAGGGATGTGAGATGGGAGGGAGGGAGGGAGGGAAGGAAAAAGGGAAGGAAGGGATGTGAGATGGAAGGGAGGGAGGGAGGAAGGAAGGAAAAAGGGAACAAAAAAGGGAAGGAAGGGATGTGAGATGGAAGGAAGGAAGGAAGGGAGGAAGGAAAAAGGGAAGGAACAAAAAAGGGAAGGAAGGAAGGGAGGGAGGGAGGGAGGGAGGGAGGGAGGGAGGCTTATTATTAAACTAAACAGACACAGATACTTCAGTCTCACACCTTAAATACATCTATTTCAAGGGGCTTGCAATAAATCATCAAGCACTATTTCCCAGAAACCTCCAATCACCAACCATTCCCAATGGAGTTCACCTTCAGGGAAATTCCCACCCTGGAACACTTGTGTTGGGAAATCCTCACTAGATCACAAAGCAAAGCATCTGTCGAAAAACATCACCTCTACTTTGAGACCAACCCCTTAAAGCCTAGACAACCCAAAACTAGAAGTGGGTAGAGATATTTCTGTGGCCTTGGAATTCTTCCCAAAACCCATCCGGAAGCAGAGAATATTTACAAAGCCTCTCCTGAAGGTTACACAGATAATCCGAATATAGTCTCTCGTGTTGCTGGGTGTATTGTTACTTTCAGAACTGCTGGTTCTTTCAATCAATTGCAGCCTTTTCTGTTTAAAGCCATTTGTTTCCAATGAAAAGCCATGATTCAATTCCTTAAAAAAAAAAAATTGTTCTACATTAATTGGCTACCCACGTCGGCAATGTTACACTTACATGTTTTCCTCTCCAATGATGCATATCGCAGACAGAAGTTTAACTGCATCAGTCATCATGTTGATGTGTTTGGGATCAATGGTTTTGGCCAGTAAAGAAAAACTTCTTTCTTCGCTCATTATTCTCTCCAAACCGTACTGAAAGTCAAGGAATAAAAATTAGCAGGAGGCAGAAGGGGATGGTTAACAAGCTGCATAGATGCAGACGGTTAGTTGCCATGTTTTCATATACGTCTCGAGAAAATATATGAAATCCTGCAAAATTATGAAGAGCTTCAACGGGTGCTTCCACAAGAGGTCAAATTGAGGTTGACTTAAATGCTTTTTCTTTTCATTTAATGTGTTTTCTTCCTTCTCCTCTCACTTGCATATATATTGTTTTTACAACTCACTTCTGTTATGCTGTTAACTCATAACATATATACTGTACAGCAGAGGTGGGTTTCAGCAGGTTCTGACCAGTTCTGGAGAACCGGTAGCGGAAATTTTGGGTAGTTCGGAGAACCAGTAGTAAAAATTCTGACTGGCCCAGCCCCGGTCTATTCTCTGCCTCCCAAGTCCCAGCTGACCGGGAGGAAATGGAGATTTTATAATATCCTTCCCCTGCCACGCCTAAGCCACGCCCACCGAGCCACACCCACAGAACCGGTAGTAAAAAAATTTGAAACTCATCACTGCTGTACAGGCAGTCCTTGTCTTACAACTACCTCTTTCCCACAGGTGCTTTTTCAAGAGGTCACTGGACTTTCTGGTTTTTCTTTGAAGACGATTCGCTTCTCATCCAAGAAGCTTCCTCACTTCTGAGTGAATGGCTTAGGACCCGGGTACTTACAAGACCGTCTTCTGCCACCGGTAGCCTCCCACCGACCAGTACGCTCCCACAGAGAGGGCCTCCTCAGGGTGCCGTCCACCAGACAATGCCGGCTGGCGGCCTCCAGGGGGAGAGCATTCTCTGTGGGGGCACCTACCCTCTGGAACGTGTTGCCCCCAGAGATACGGCGGATCCCTGACCTTCGCGCTTTCCGAACTGCCCTAAAGATGTTTTTGTTTCATCAAGCCGGGCTGGCCTGACCTACTCTTTTTAAAAAGAATTGTTTAAAAAAAATTAGGGGTTTTAATATAGGGTTTTTAACTATGGGCCAAATTGATTTAATTGGATTTTAATATTGTTTTAAATTTTGTATCTGTGTATTTTATTTGCTGGCTGTTCACCGCCCCGAGTCCCCCAGGAGAGGGGCGGTATATAAATATAATAAACTATAACTATAACTATGGTGGGGAATGGAAGGATTAATACTCCTTGCAGATAGCTGGTCATCTGCATCCTTTTAGAGAGTCGTTGAGGCCACTTGGAGGTTTATCTGTGTCCTCAGGGTCACCCTTAAAGAGGCCATCTATGTCAAAATTGAGCAGCCCTCTGTCAACAGAGGGGGAGGGATACGACATCATCTATCTCCAATCTACAACACAGGCCTTTCAACAGTTCCAAGAAGGATCCACACCCATTTGCACACCTCAGGTGACCCTGAAGACACAGTGTTCTGCCCCAGGTACGGACCCCAAAGAACGCAGCACACACAAAGTGCGTTCAAACCTTAGTTTACTAAATAAACCAGTTTTTTTTTACAACAACGGCTGTTAATTACCTGCATTAACAGCCACCAACAATTCAAAGAATAATACTGAAAGCTTCCTGTGGTTGGTAGAATGCCCAGAAGCAATTTGCAGGAAGCTGATAAGATAAGCAAAACAAGACACGAAGGTATGTGAACGAAGTTGTTTCCTGCAAATTGCTTCAGTCGGCGTTCCTTCTTAAATAGGCTAAGGGAGTGGCCAATTAGCCCCAAGCCTTACTCTCGAGGAGACCTCCTCCTGAGGAGCCACCCCTGCCTTTTGGCAGCTCTGCGCGCCCATGCATTGAGAAGAGGCTCCTCCTCTTCATCCTCTTCACTTAAGGGAGCTTCTGGAGGTTCTGAAGGCCCTGGCTGAATCCCTGCCTCTGGCATCACATCTTCTCCAGCCTCCTCATTGTCTGACTCGAGTGCCAGTTGCACAGGCTGCTAGCGCAGCACCACACCAGCCTCCTCGCTGTCGGAATCAGCTACTAACTGCACAAACCGTTGACGGGCCACAACACACAAGATAAACCTCCAAATGGCCTCAACCTCTCTCTAAAAGGATGCAAATGACCAGCTGTCTGCAAGGAGTATAAATCCTTCCATTCCCCACCACCAACCAGTCAAAGCTGAAGAAGCTTCTTGGATGGGAAGCGAAACATCTTCAAAAGAAAAACCAGAAAGTCCAGTTGCCTCTTGAAAAAAAGCACCTTTGGGACAACCATGATCTGGATGATTGAGAATCTCCATAGGCAACCATTTCTTTCGTGACTTTTCAAAGTGACTGGACTTTCTCTCCATGGAGATGGTGCAGCGGGCCGTAAATGTGGAAAACGGTCATGTCGCTTTTTTCAGTACCGTTGTAACTTCGAACGGTCACTAAACAAACTGTTGCAAGCCAAACATTGCTTGTATGTGTACGGTGTCAAACACAAGGCCCGTGGGCCGGATACGGCCCACGATGTGGTCAGATTCAGCCCACGGGGCCATCCTGGAAAATGTATGGGAGCGGCCTGCGTCATTTCGGCCCGGTCTACCCAGTGTGAAGAGGGAACATGAGGTCAGCAATTTGGAGAGTGGCGTCACGCCCACCCAGTCGGACATGCCCAGTGAGTGGCATCAAGATGGCCACGCCCACCCAGTTCAGCCACGCCCACCCAGTCGGCCACACCCATCGGACCCTGCGAGGTGAACCACAGCCTTGATGCGGCCCTCAATGAAATTGAGTTTGACAATTCCTGCTGTAAGCCTTTCAACTTCAAACAATTAAGCAAAATGAGCGTACTGACCTTGTTATTCATAAAAGCTTTTAAGCACTGAATTATCTTGTGCTGTATCTTCTTTAGAAACTTGTCCTGTCTGAACGCAAGAAGATAAAAGACGCCAAAATTATATCATGAATGGTTACCGTCCATCCACTCTTTCTCAGAATTAGAGACTTGTTAGGAAACTTACTGTTTGGTTTCAACCAGTCTTTCCAAGAGGTCCAATAATAAGCCGAGTCCTTCACGTCCAAAGTTCTCAACCCAACTGCAAAAAAAAAAAAAAAAAATTCTATATTAATCTCTGGCATTGATAATAAATGGATCCAAGCCAATAACCACATACATGCAACATGATAATCAGTGTCTAAATTCTAGTTTCGTTTAGTTTCGGTGGACTATAGAAAAAGGAAATCAATGTGGCAATGGGGATTTTGGAGATGGATACGATATCCATGATAATATAATATACATCTTTATAAAAAAAACCATCCATTTTCTCTTTGTCTGCCTTCTTGTTTATTATCATATTGCATAACAGAAGATATATCCGAAGCAACATATATTCATATATTCAGTATATATTATTTAACAATGGCACTTTTTAAAATACAGGTAGTCCTCGACTAGCGACCATAATTGAGCCCAAAATTTCTGTTGTTCACGGAGACATTTGTTAAGTGAGTTTTGCCCTGTTTTACGACTTTTGTGAACTTCTCCTCAGTTCAAAAAAAAAAAAAAAAAAAGATAGTGAGGTTTTCTTGTCTCAAAGTGTAGGAAGGCAGATCTGCATGTTAACAAGATTTTTTACAGACATGCATACAATGAAGGTGAAATGTCTCTGTAATTCCATATTTTAATGCTACGTACTGGTAGTCTTCGAGTTACGAGCACAATTGAGCCCCAAATTTATGTTGCTAAGTCAGAAATTTGTTAGGTGAGGTTTGCCCCGTTGTACGACTTTGCTTGCCTCCGTTTTTAAGTGAAACACTGCAGTTGATCAACCCAGTTGTAAAGTGAATTTGGCTTCCCCATTGACTCTGCATGTCACAAGGTCGCAAAACCGGATCCTCTGACCTCGGGAAACAACAACGGTCATAAGTACGAACCGGTTGCCACGCATCTGAATTTGGACCACATGATCGTGGGGATGCTTGAAAAGTCGCAACTGCGAAAAACAGTCGTCAGTCCCTCTTTTTTCAGTGCCGTTGTAGCTTTGGACGGTCACTAAATGAACTGTTAGAAGTCAAGGACGGCCTGTTACACAGGATTTCTTTCTGGAGACACCCCCCCCCCCGCTTTCATTCCTGATCAGGAAAGAAAGTACTTTCCTTTCCTTAATCGGCTTCTCTTCTATCATAGCTTGCAAAACACTGGAAGGGTCAAAGTTGATTCTAGCATGCTCTCCTAGTCCGGCGGCATGGAGAGGTTAATTGTTCTGACCCAGGCTTCCCCAGCAGCACGAAGCCGAGTCCTTGTCCCGACAAAAAACCCTTTTATTTGATTTATAGTGAATTCCTCTCCAGCAAAGTCTTTCCTCTCCCACAGTCTTTCAAGGTAGTTCACAATTACCGACCTTTATCAGGCTTGGATAAAGCACTCGTCACCTCTCATCTGGACTATTGTAACGCTCTCTACATGGGGCTCCCCTTGGGGTACACCCGGAGGCTCCAACTGGTGTAGAATGCGACCGTGCGGGGGATTATGGGAGCGACTGGGCGCTCCCATGTGACTCCTCTCCTGCGCGAGCTGCATTGGCTTCCGGTGGACTTCCGGGTGCGCTTCAAGGTGTTGGTGATCACCTTTAAAGCACTCCATGGCTTAGGGCCAGGGTACTTACGGGACCGCCTTCTGCCACCAATAGCCTCCCACCGGCCAGTTCGCTCCCACAGAGACGGCCTCCTCAGGGTGCCGTCGGCTAGACAATGCCGGCTGGCGACCCCCAGGAGGAGAGCCTTCTCTGTGGTGGTACCTACCCTTTGGAACAATCTACCCCCAGAGATACGAGTGATCCCAGACCTCCGGACTTTTCGTCGGGCCCTAAAAACTCATCTCTTTCAGTTAGCCGGTCTCTCTTGATTTTATGATTTTATGGTTGGTTTTAAATTTTGATATGGATTTTAAATTGATAAATTTTAAACTATGGGCCAAATTTAATTATTTTAAATCTATTTTTAATCGTACTTTATGTATAAATGTTTTTACTTTGGCTGTTCACCGCCCTGAGTCCGAAAGGAGAAGGGCGGTATAGAAATTCGAATAAATAAATAAAATAAATAAATTGGAGAGTGGCCAGGCCGATATCTTTCAGACACCACAATACTTGGCAAGAATGCAGGAATGAACTAATTGTCTCCTGCAAATTCCACTCCCCTTTCGCTCCTCTTTTATTCCCTCTGGGAGGGGCCCTTCATCGTCCACCTGTGGCCTTACTCCTAAATCGACCTTTGATGTTTAGCTGTTCCCTTTGTCTGGCATCTCTGAGCATGTGCACATTTGGAACAGGCTCCAGCTGTTATTCTGCCTCACTGATGTCTGACTCCGAAGGCAGCTGATAACTGGCATACGGCCCTGGCCCCCTCTCTGCCTCTGACACAGAGCCCTCATCAGAGACTTCCCCAGACTCCAGGACTGGCCCATGTTCCTCCCCAACCTCCTCACTGTCCGAATCTGCTGCCAGATCTGCTGGTGGGCCACAACACTACTAATCACAGTTTACTCTTTGTAAATCTTTTCCCCAACTCCTATAATTTACTCTTCACTGCCTCTTCTCAGCCTTTCCTCTCGCCTCCTCTGCAAAGAGAGGGACAGAGTTCCCCCACCCCACCCGAGGTTTCATGCCCTCCAACCATTATCTCTCTTCCTTTCAAAACAAAAGCATGTATTTCAAAAAAAACAATCCCAAAGCCTGCATAACACACTACATCACACTTCTTAGTAAGGAAAGGGGAAAAAGTCTATGGAGCGCCTCAGTCATCCAGGTCATGGTTGTCCCAAAGCTGCTTTTCCGGGAGGGAGGCAACTGGACTTTCTTGCTTTTTTTCTTTGAAGAGGTTTCGCTTCTCACCCGAGAAGCTTCTTCAGCTTCTGATGGGTCCTTCTCAGAGCTGAAGAAGCTTCTCGGATGAGAAGCGAAACCTCTTCAAAGAAAAAAACAAGAAAGTCCAATTGCCTCCCGAAAAAGCACCTTCGGGATAAGGGAAACGTGGATTAGGTTAACAAGCTGTAGTTGCACCCATGCCACACCCATGCAGCATTCCCTGCCGAGGATTAAAAGTGACACAACGCCAATCAGTATAGGCACACTGCACCCAGTTTTACACAACGCAAACTCACACCGTTGTGTACAGATTAGAGACCAACAGGCCATTACCAACATCCATTCGTTTGGATACACATGCCATGCATTGCATAGTTTTACTTACCCTTAAAGGGACTGTTAGCATGACATGCGTGTCTGACTTTCAAGTCCTCACAATTTGTCAGGAAAAAGGCTTATATATTCTAGAACGGGGATACGGGAAACTACTTTATATAGGGTCAGAAATTGGATCAACTTATTTGATAATACAGCAAATCTACTAAAGAGCTTCAGACCGGAAAAAGCCACTTGAAGTTTCAATTACTGAACCCACGGAAAGGTGTGTGAGCAAAGTGGAATCTATATGGTTAGTACTTGATGGACATTAGTATTATTTTCAATTATTTCTCCTCAAGTACCTTGGCGACATCTGCTGCAATTCTGGGATTGAGGGTTATTTCTTGATTTTTATTGCTTTTGTAAACTATAAACTAAGAACAGCATTACAGGTAATCCTCAATTTACGACAACTGAGCCCAAAATTTATGTGGCTAAATTTGTTAAGCGAGTTTGCCCCCATTTTTCTCGCCACGTATGTTAAGTGAAGCACTGCAGTTTTTAAATTAGAAACTCGGTTGTTAAGTGAATCTGGTTTCCCCATTGGCTTTGCTTGTCAGACGGTCGTAAAAGGGGATCATATGACCCGGGGACACGGCAACCATTCATAAATGTGAATCAGTTGCCAAGCATAGTGGTCACATGACCATGGGAGATGCTACAATGGTCATTGCCGTCGGCCAAACAATGTCGGCTGTCGGCCCCTAGGGGGAGAGCCTTCTCTGTGGGGGCACCGACGATCTGGAATGAGCTCCCCCCAGAGATACGGAGGATTCCGGATCTGCGCACCTTCCGCCGCGAGTTGAAGACGCTTTTGTTTCATCAAGCTGGCCTCGCCTAAATCTTCTCCCTTTTAAGTGTAAATTCTAAATTTTTAATGGATTTTAAAATATGGGTATTTTAAATTGGGTATTAATTCAGCCAAATTTATTTAATTCATTTTATTCGATTTTAAATTTTGTATATCTATGTGTTTTATTTCATGGCTGTGCACCGCCCTGAGTCCTTCGGGAGTAGGGCGGTATAGAAATTCAATAAATAAATAAATAAATAAATAAATAAATAAATAAATAAATAAATAAATAAATAAATAAATAAATAAATAAAAGTGAAAAACGGTCATAAGTCACTTTTTTCAGTGTCGTTGTAACCAGTGGTGGGTTGCTACCGGTTCTCCCCGGTTCTTGCGAACCGGTAGTAGAAATTTTCAGTAGTTCGGAGAACCGGTAAATACCACCTCTGCCTGGCCCCACCCCCAATCTATTCGCTGCCTCCCAAGTCCCAGCTGATCAGCTAGAAGGAAAAAATCAAAGAACAAGGACAAAGAGAGAGAGAGAAAAAAAAAAAAACAAGACACTGTAGCTTTAAATTGAGAAGCCAAGAAACCTCCCAACTGATCAGCTAGAACCCATCCGCTCCTTGTAAACCGCTCAGTGGTGGTAGATTGGCAATTGAGGCCAAGCTGCCTGAAAACGGTTTCTGAGGCTCTCGGTGGTGGCAGAGGGGCAAAAAACTGTTTAAACTCTTGCCGCGGCACTTCAAAGGGCCGCCCTACAGCTGATCAGCGGTAAAAGGCAGTGTGGTGGTAGACCAGTGCGCTCCAAAAACAAATAGGTAGACCGTTGCACTCCAAAAACAAATGGGTAGACCGGAACTCTCCAAAAACAAATAGGTAGACCGGTACGGCTCTGCAAGCAGTTAAAAGCCTGGTAGACCAGTACCTCTGCTAAATCCTAAAGAATTGTTTGTCACATGACCATCAAACCACGCCCGCAAAATAAGCCACTCCCACAGAACCGGTAGAAAAAAAAATTTAGAACCTACCCCTGGTTGTAACTTCGAACGATCACTAAATGAAAGGTTGTAAGCCCAGCATTGCCTGAACTTATACTGTATATTTTGATTAGGATGCTTTAGAATATTTTAAATTAACTAAAAAAAAAAAAAATCACATTTCTTCGCAGCAAATATTGAGATAGAAAATGCTACCTTTGCTCTAACTTTTGTACCGGGTAGACCCGCTACTTCTCGGGTCATAGCTATACCAAAATCCCGGACCTCTTCTTATTATTAAGAACCTATTTTTGGTCTTCCCACTAAAATGTTCTTCATTTAAAAAATAATAATAATAATCTGTAGGCTACGGGTAAATCAGTCGTATTCGTGTTCATATACCCCTGCAAGCAAATTATCCAGATACTGCCATTAAAAAAAAAAAAATCCTATATCCACTGACTTAATCAAGTTCTAATCTTAGTGCCAGAGACCCCTGACAAGATCATAATGATATGGAGATTAATTCAAGAAGAAATGAATGTTTAACCAGATGAAGCACATCAATAGCACCGTAATAAACTCCTGATGAGACCTTTTCTAGCTTGTTACAAAAAAAAAAAAAAAAAAAAATCTACGGTAGTTTCCAGAATGCAGGGAAATGTATTAAGCTACCAAGCCTGTATTTCTCTATGTGGCTTGGCCAACGGCTCTGCATTTCAATCAAATTCAATTCTATAAAGGTAGTCCTCGACTTAACAGTTCGTTTAGCGACCGTTCGAAGTTACGACGGCGGTGAAAAAGAGGCTTATGGCCGTTTTTCACACTTACGACGGTCGCGGCCATCCCTGTGGTTCACGTGATCAAAATTTAAGATGTTCGGCACAACTGACTCACATTTATGACGGTCGCACTGTAAGTCACGTGAGCCCTTTTGGCGACCTTCTGACAAGCAAAGTCAACGGGGGGGAACCAAATTCACTTAGCAACCGTGTTGTTAATGTAACAACCGCAGTGATTCCCTTAACAACGGTGGCAGGAAAGGTCCCAAAATGGGGCAAAGCTCACTTCACAACAGTGTTAAACGGTGGTCATAAATCGAGGACTATCTGTATATGCGGTTTCACTTCTAAAAAGTGACTGGTGCCGCTTGTAAATTCAAATTCAAACGGTCAGAAACGTAATCCAGGATACCTGTGAGAGCCATATTAAAACAAGCGATGATTGTCGGTAATGAATTATTTTCACAAATAATATAACAACTTATATATTTTGACTTCCATAAAAGGCTGAATGGAAGGCGGCTGCAATGTATAAACACAATGTTCATGAAAAACCAGCTTTTATTTTTATTAGAAAGTTTTGCTGAAGTGTTGCATTACCTGACAGGGTTACTAGTTAGTGATACCCGAAGAGATTCTAGGCAGCTGACAAGTTTTTCATCCACTGTTCCAGACTTTAATTCATAAATGAATTCCTGAGGCAAAATCTGCTTTCTATTCTTGAGGCTTCCCTGAAAGAACATTTATTTATTTATTTATTTTATTTTATTTTTATACCGCCCTTCTCCTGCGGGATTCAGGGCGGTGTACAGCCGAGATAAAACATAGCATATAAAAGTTAAAAACAGTTTAAAAAACAAATAATTTTGGCCCAAAATACATAATCAGCCATGTTATGAAACAAATATAAATAAATGTTCACATGCATTTAAAAAAACACATACTGTGCGTTCCAGTCAATCTGGAACCTTCTTCGTTCCAAAATGCAGAGATCTATGTTGAATATGAAACATGCTGAATATGAAGGGTTTTTTTTTATGAAATATGAAATTTATTTCAACTTCTCCCCTCAGGACATCGCTATTGGGCACTGCATGCAAAAACAGATAGTTTTTGTCATCTTGTGTCATCACTCTGCTGAACACCTAATTACCACAGCACTGTCTTATGTCTATGGATATTTACCTATGTCGTATGGCTGTATTATTATTATTATTACTATTATTATCGTGTTTCCCCGAAACTAAGATCTCTCCATATAATAAGCCCAATTGGGCTTTTCAGCGCATGCGATAAAATAACCCCCCCCCAAAAAAATAAGCCCCCCATCAACTACTTACATGCATGCGCAGCCGGTCCCACCATTTTCTCTGGTTGTTTGCCGCACAAACAACACGAGGTGAGGTGGTGAGGCTGGAACTGGGAAAGGGGGGACACATGCACTTCCCTCCCTGTTCTTCGTGCTGGCCACCACTGCCCTGACGTGTCCTGCCGCCCCTGCGAGCTTCATCATACCAGCACAGCTGGCGTCCTGCCGCTTGCGCCTGCGCTGGTATGTCAAACCTCGTGGCGGTGCTGCCGTTCGTGCGTGCAACCGACACGCCTTGCAGAGTCCTGCTCCACGAGGCGGCGGCGACACAGCGAGTCTCACAAAGACTCATTTCTGGCAGGTGGGGCGGGAGAGAAGCGAGATGCGTGGAGCGAGACATGGTTCCCTTTGCCGTCTCTTCTCCTGCCCCTCGCCGGTCATGGCAGGGCACCTGCCCCTTGCTTAGCCACCAAATTACACTTAGGGGTGCAATTTTGGGGTGGCAGGTGGGGTGGGCAAGAAGCGGGATGCACGTCTTACTTTTCAGGCTCCATTGCGTTCCTCGCCATTGCGTCCAGGGAAACACGTTGTAAAAAAAAAAAAAAAAACCACCTTTCCCCTTCTTCTTTTGAATTCCATCTTTCCCAACATCAGGGTCTTCAACAAAGAATTTATCAGCCGAATTAAATCTTGTTTCTATTTCTTTTTTTTTTCTAAATTTTATCAGTCTCTTTCACTAGCGTATGTTGCGGTCTCCCCGTTGCGCGTTGCTTACCTGTCTCGAAGCAGCACTAGTATACTGCAGCACCATTTCCTTTTTGATACAGAAGTCTTTTTCTCTTAGCGGAGCTTTTCGATCCTCGTTTAAATTCATATCTTCCTAAAACAATGAAAAAGGTAAACACAGGTGTGTGAGATCGCAAATGTATTCCAAAATGTTTTTAGGGAGTAGGGAGAAATGGGAGGAGGTCTGCTTTCAAAGTTAGAGGCCGTAACAATAATCTTTATTATCACTCAAAAGTCAATTGCATTTCAACAATAGAGTAGAGTAGAGTAGAGTAGAGTAGAGTAGAGTAGAGTAGAGTAGAATAGAATAGAATAGAATAGAATAGAATAGAATAGAATAGAATAGAATAGAATAGAATAGAATAGAATAGAATAGAATAGAATAGAATAGAATTCTTTATTGGCTAAGTGTGATTGGACACACAAGGAATTTGCCTTTGGTGCATAAGCTCTCGGTGTACATAAAAGAAAAGATACGTTCATCAAGAATCATAAGGTACAACACTTAATGATAGTCATAGGGAACAAATAAGCAATCAAATCATATTAGGAATCAGTCAATATAAATCGTAAGGATACCAGCAACAAGGTTACAGTCATGCAGTCGTAAGTGGGAGGAGATGGGTGATAGGAACAATGAGAAGATTAATAGTAGTGCAGACTTAGTGAATAGTTTGACGGTGTTGAGGGAATTATTTAGCGTTTGGAAAAAAACTGTCCTTGTGTCTAGTTTTTCTGGTGTGCAGTGCTCTATAGCGTCGTTTTGAGGGTAGGAGTTGAAACAGTTTTTTTTAAGAAAAGCGTTAAAAAGTTTTTTTTAAGAGCGAGGCATGCAAAGAAAACAAAAGACAAACACAGGGCAAGAACAAGCAAACAAAAAAAGGAAGCTTTTCTGCCTTGCCTTTATTTAGTTAAAGTAACTTTGTGTCACCTTGCCTGTTCTATTGGCCCCAATAAACAGATTTTCCATGTTAAGAGAGAGAGAGGGAGAGGGAGAGACGGGGGGGAGGTTCAATTCCACCTATCGAAATAAAAACCACTGGCCATTTTCTCCTCATCTTCTCAATCCATAGGGTAGAAAACAACTTTCTAACTACTCTGCTTAGGAGGTTAACATCCTGCCTTTCTATTCTCACTGTAGAAAATAAGCTCTCATTTTTTTTTCTCCAAGTCAGCAAATAATGGCAGAAACCAATACGCCAACAAAGTTCTTGATATTTCCCATCTTCTAAACAAAAAGAAAGAAAGAAAGAAAGAAAGAAAGAAAGAAAGAAAGAAAGAAAGAAAGAAAGAAAGAAAAAGAAAGAAAGAAAGAAAGAAAGAAAATAAATAGTATTTTCATCAAATGAAGTATTAGTACCACTTTATAAACCTTTATAAAGCATTTAGTTTTGGTCACCACATTATAAAAAAGATGTTTGGGGAAAAAGTGCAAAGAAGAGCAACTAAGATGACCAAAGGCTTGGAGACTAAAACGTATGAAGAACGGTTGCAGGATTTGGGTTTGAAAAGGACCAGGGATGACATGACAGCACTGTTACAATATCTAAGGGGCTGCCACAAAGGGGGGGGGGGGTATCAACCTCTTCTCCAAAGCACCTCAAGGTAGGACAAGAAACAATGGATGGAAACTAACCAAGGAGAGAAGCAGCCTGGAATTGAGGAGAAACTTCCTAACAGTGAGGACAATTAACCAGTGGAACAGCTTGCCTTCAGATGTTGTGGGTGCTCCATCACTGGAAGTTTTTAAGAAGTGTCTGGACAGTCATTTGTCTGAAATGGTACAGGGTCTCCAGCTTAAACAGGGGGTTGGACTAGAAGACCTCCCAGGTCCCTTCCAGCTCTATTCTGAATCCTCCTCTTTTACTGATGGATTAAAATGCATGATGCAAAGATGGCCCTGGCATCAATGAACCTGCATACTGAATTGTTGCTCTCATTTTGAAGGAAATTCACAGGAAAGGGAACTGAACCCTTTAGAAATTCCTTCATTTGGTAACATTGGTCTTTTTATCCAACTGGTTGAGAAGTCAGCATCACTAACTGTGAAGATTCAACAGCCTCTCTGCCAATTAGGTTAGTAGCTTATTCTTATTCCATGGATTAACCATTCACTTCTAAATTTTCCAGTGTCTAATTCTTTGAAGGAAAAAAAAAAAGAACAGGCTGTTTTCTTTATTTCTTGAGCGATGGATCAGCAGTTAAAGATGCTGAGCTTGTCAGCTGGTAGAAATCTGTCAGTCCAGGTTAGAGACATGAGCTTCGCACAATGGGTGAGCTCCCATTCCTTGCTCCAGCTCCTGCTCACCTAGCAGTTCGAAAGCATGCAAATTACGAATAGATAAATAGGCATCACTTTGGTGGGAAGATAATGGCATTCTGTGAGCCTTTGCCGTATAACCATGCTGGCCACACAACCACAGAAATGTCTTCGGACAACGTTGGCTCCATCAGCCAAGAAACGGAGATGAGCACCATGCCCTAGAGTCGGACATGACTGGACAGGGAAACCTTTACCTTTATTTTTAAAAACAAGTACTTTTGAAACCTTTGCTTGATTACTTCCTGAATCAAGCAAAGTGTCAGCACTCCAAACTACATTCGTTTCAGTGCTGACATAAGGAGAAGAGGGGGCAGCTGGCAAGAGGACGCTTGACTTTTCACCTACTTATTTTCCCTGAAGATAATATCCCCTAGGAGATGGGATGGGAGGGGGGACATTCCTGGGAGCTGAAGCAGTAGATATGGGGAGAGTGATTTGGAAGATGGCCAATGAGACGCAGAGAATTGGGGAACGGAAAGGGAAGTTCGGGGTCAGGAAGTCAGTGTTGGCTATGATATGATCTGGGACAGTTTGTCGTGCTTAATAAATGAAAGATTTCATCAAAGACTATTTGTTTGGAAAATGCAATTTATTTTGAGACGATACTGAAACCTGACACAAAGGTTCATACAACGTAGGATATAGTTTGATTTTTGACTCACTAAGGTTGAGTATACTCAGCTAGTGTGGTTGACAAATTATCTGGACGTTTACATGGATTATAACCAGTCATTTTATTAACTGTGATTATAAAAAGTACCGGTATGTCTAACCGTGGTGTTGTGGCCTAGAGGTGGAGCTCTCGCCTCACAATCAGGAGGCTGTGAGTTCGATTCTAGGTAGAGGCAGATGTTTCTCCCTCTGGGCACAATGAAATTATATCTGCTGAACAAAACTCCGCATTGGCGACAGGAAGGGCATCCGGCCAGTAAACACTCAGCTCCAATCAGTTGGCCAGACCCCACCCCGCAAGGGATTATGGGGTCATTAAAAGAAGATGCTAAAAAGTATGTCTAACCGGATTCAGTTGAAAAGGGGATGTCTGTAAATTATCTACTACTGCATATACTTACAGAGGCACGGATAGCCTTTGAGCAGAAGTGGAAAGAGAAAGATACCCCAACTGAAGAGGAAATACTACTAAAAATTTTCAGCTGCGCAGAAATGGATAGACTCACCTTGGAACTCAAGGAAACATTGTACTATAAAATCTGGGGAAAATTCTATGAATGGTTAGATAAAAGGAGGATAGCTGAGACAAATGTGTAATGTTAGACTAGAATTATATACGTTATTATAGATAAATATGTATGTGAATTGTATAGATAGGTATAGATATGTATAATTGTATAGGAATAAGGTATAAATGACTATTATTATACTATGTTTAAATAACGTATAAGGTGTAAGGAATATATTATTATATTATCTAGTATATTATGTATTAACTTAAAGTGTTGGAAGATGCTTGGGATCAGTGATGTCATATCTATGTCCAATGTTTTTAACTTTTTCATGGGAATTATTTTTTTCGCAGGGCAGTTAGGAATTACACATCTAGTTCAAAAGCAGGTCTGCGACGCTTACCATCATTTTTTCAAACAGTGCCAGGATCTCTCGATCTGACAAATGCGTAGGCCTGAAGTCATCCATCTCTGCAGGGGTGGTGCATTCACTCGATGAGCAATGGGATTGTTTCAGATGCGGGAGAGCTGGCCTGTCCTTTTTGCTGCCTGGAATCCGTATGCTGGAAAATTTATCAAACTGAACAAAAACCAAGAATAAGCATGTCTCAGCAGGTACACAGATAGACCAAAAAAAAAAAAAAAAAGACACCTCATTTCTCCAAAAAAAGATTTGGAGTAAAGAAACACAATTGATTACCCAGAAGTTTTAAAAGCAAGCCAAAAACCTTGATTATACAGTAAGCGAGACAGCATTTATTCCCACCACCCCCTGACTAGAAACCAATCATCTACAAATTAGAGTTGTGGAAAGTATAAATGAGAATGGGAAGGGTAGTAATACAAAGAGAGAAAATGAGTTACTGAGATCTCCAAGAAGAAATGGGTCAGTTGCAGGACACTTAAGATTCCTAGTAAGGCTTGAATAAACTTTCCACACTGGAAAACCACATCCATTGTACGGCTATTCTTTTTTTCTCTTTGGTTAAAGAGCCCCCCCCCCCCCCACACACACACAAAAGAACCCAACACGTTTTATGCCTCTTCCATTATGTGGTGTCAACTGGGACTCTGCCAACATAACAGTTTTTGCACACCTTCGCAACACTCCTTGCCAGGCTTCTCATTTACCGTATTTTTCGGACTATAAGACACACCCAAATTTAGAAGAGGAAAATAACAACAACAACAAAGTTTTTGGCCTCCCTTTTTCCGGGTCTTTTTTCAGTCCGTTTTTGAGGCTTTTTTGGCCTGTTTTTGAGGCCTTTTTTTTGGGGGGGGGGGGGTTTCTCGGTGTTTTTGGGCCTGTTTTTTCAGGAAAAAAAGAGTAGAAAAAAGCCTCGAAACAGGCTGAAAAAAGCCTCAAATACGGGCCGGAAAAGCTCCCAAAACAGGCCAGAAAATGCCTCAAAAATGGACTGAAAAAAGCCCACAAAACGGGCTGAAAAAAGGCCTGAAAAAGGCCCAAAAACGGGGCGTGCGACGGCCAAAAAATGGTGGGCGGGACTTCTGCAACATTCGGTCTATAAGAAGCACAGACATTTTCACCCCTTTTTGAGAGACAAAAAAGTGCGTCTTAAAGTTCGAAAAATACAGTATTTCAGACTCCTTTATATTTTGTATCTAATGTTGACAGTTTAAGCATAGTTAGATAGATATGATATATGATTGATAGGGGAGAGAGAGAGGGAGGGAGGGAGGGAGATGTGGTATGGATCTAAGATACCAATTCTAACTAAAGAAAACCCTTGATATAACATTGCTTGCCATGTTTCTCATTTACTTCAGACTCCTTTATATTTTGCATCTCATGGATGGATGGATGGATGGATGGATGGATGGATGGATGGATAGACGGTCGGACATAGAGATACATATGTACATATACAGTGAAGGATGCATTCTTTAAAAGAATGGGGAAAATATTTTAAAACATTTGGCATAAACTTTATCCCCTGATGGTATGGATCTAAGTCCAAGCCAAGATATCAATTCTAATTAAAGAAAAACCTTGCTATTTCTGCAAATTAGGTGTTAATAAAGACAGTTGCAAGAAAACTTGTTTTCTACATCCTAAAAAAAAAAAAAAGCTCCTAGATATTTTTTTTCCTTCCTAAAATTATAATAGTTTTGCAATCTTATATTAAAGCGTAACTCTTGAGCATCAAACATTTCTTTCCTTTATCATGGAGTAACGCTATTTTGCAAGCTGCATTTCCTCTGGAATCAGACGTGGCCATTTAGGCACACCGAGTCCCGTCTCGAGGCAGGAATCCAATTTAATACGGTACTTGCGATGAGAATGACGCATCCTGCAAAACAGGAGCTCATCTTTTCATAATCAGGTCTAACTACCAAACGTGTAACTATTAAGTTACATTTTGCATTCAGGATCTGCTTTGCTATAACTTAATGTAATTAGTTCTGCTTCCTAAGATCTACCATCTTAGAGATCGAGATGCCTTCTGTATCACAGCTTTTCAGGTACTTGAAAAATTGGTCAGCGCGCCCAAAAGTCATCTTTTGTCAAAAATTATACTGTTTTCTCGTTCCTTCTTCATAGTTTCATGATCATCTTCCTTGAACTTAATCCGAAAACGGATACACTGCAGTGTCGAGTTCCAGTTTTAACTGAAGTAGCACTTGACAAATTTCTACGGTTTTGAAATTATGCTTCTGTGGATGCAGCCTACAATTGCTTTTGCTATCTGGGAAATCAAGTCACGCAATGCTGACCTTTGTGTAATCTGTGATTAATTGCAGATCCACAGGAAGTCTCTTCATGTGTCACTGTCACCAAGCCAGGGAACCTCTTTCCTGGACCTACACTTTTGATTACTTTCAACCAACTCTTTTAATCTATCAAGGTGGCATTTTGTCATCTGCAAATTTACCAGGAGCCGTGATGGCGCAGTGATTAGGATGCAGTATTGCAGACTAACTCTGCTGACTGGCAGCAGTTCGATTCTCAACAGTTCAAGGATGACTCAGTCTTCCATCCCTCCGAGGTCGGTAAAATGAGGGCCCATCTTGTTGGGGGCAATAGGCTGACACTGTAAACCGCTTAGAGAGGGCTGTAAAGCACTGGGAAGCGGCATATAAGTCTAAGTGCTATTGCTACTAAGCATTTCCTTATCTGTCAACTTCGCAAGGCCCTCCAGGCAGGAAGCTTATCCAGAAGTACTAGCAATAAAGGAGAATATTTGTAGTTCAGGGTTGAAATGAGGGGTCCTGGGTGGTCTCTGAGCTTGATTGTTTCTGTTGTGCCCCAGCTCCGGATTCCCAAGGATTGTGACACACACCAACGGTCCTTTTTTTTTTTTTTAAATTTGATTTATATGCCGCCCTTCTCTGGAGACTCAGGGCGGCTTACAATACGTTAAGCAATAGCCTTCATACTTTTCTATATTTATACAAAGTCAGCTTATTGCCCCCACAATCCGGGTCCTCATTTTACTTACCTTAGAAAGGATGGAAGGCTGAGTCAACCTTGAGCTTGGTGAGATTTGAACTTGCAGTAATTGCAGGAAGCTGATGTTAATAAGTGCTTTAGTCTGCTGCGCCACCAGGGCAATGTACCAAGAATAAACAAAGTCCAGCAAAGGTTGGTAACCAGCCCAGAAAACAAGATACGATAAGACACTCACTCTCCAACATGCTCAGTAATAATTACAGGTTGTTTCCAGCAAGAAATTACTAACTGTATGTGACTTAAATAGGCTAAGGGAGTGGCCAATTATCCTCAAGCCCTACTCTCGAGTAGACCTCCTCCTCCTGAGTAGCCACTTATGCCTTTTGGCAGCCCTGCATGCTCGAGCATTGAGGAGAGGCTCCTCCCCTTTGCTCCCTCCACTTGAAGGAGCCTCTGGAGGTTCTGAAGGCCCTGGCTGAGTCTCTGCCTCTGGTACCACATCCTCTTCAGCCTCCTCGCTGTCCGACGCGAGCGCCGGCTGCGCAGGCTGCTGGTGCAACCCCGCACCAGCCTCCTCGTCGGGATCAGCCACTATCCGCGCAGGCCGCTGGCGGGCCACAACAGTTTCCTTGTAGTTGTTTCATTACCCAAACTAGGTAACTTCATCATCAGACTAGCACTAATGATTAATGGTTTGGGTAATGAAACGTCTGCAAGAAAACAACCAAGCTCAGAAACCACCCAGGACCCCTTAGAAGTACTATCTGCAACTCTATTGTGAGGTTACACCAGGGGTCAGCAACCTGTGGCTCTGGAGCCGCATGTGGCTCTTTCACCCCTCTGCTGCGGCTCCCTGTCACTCAAAATATGCATCACAACCGCCAATGTGTGACACCCACCGACACGATTTATTGAGCTTTTCAACCCCCAATAGGCCAACCATGGATAAATCCAAGAAAAGAAAAGTTTCAGAAGAAAACAGAATGTTTAATTCAACTACATATGCTAGTTTTGTGGCTGCTCAAGAAATAGTCAGGCACGGGAAGGGTTTTGTGGCTCCCGGTGTTTTCTTTTCTGTGGGAAACAGATCCAAATGGCTCTTTGAGTGTTTAAGGTTGCAGACCCCTGGGTTATACTAACAGAACCTTGCAGGTATGAAAGTACATTGCTTGGCCCAACCCCTTAGTTCAAGAAATCAGAGATTGTCCCTTCTGAGATGTTTAAGATACCCCTCCCATTGCTTTTCTGGACTTTGCTACTGTCTGACTAGTCTGACAGATGCCTAGTCTGCAGCTCTTCCTCCTGTCCATTCCCACATACTGGACCACTACAATATCATCAACCAAGTCATAAAAATGTTGAAGAATATCAGCCCATGGCCAACATCTCTGGCATCTTGGTTGATAACTGCTGTTGGCATGAGAAATCAGCTGTTGAGCAACAAGACACTTGGCAAAGTTGCTGTTGACTCATACATTTCTATCTCCTAATCAGGATGTGACATATTTTTCAAATGCTATTAGGTCCAAATTCTAACACTAATCTTGATAGATGTCCAATTAAAACAAATAACTCTGACCAAACGTGTCCCTTGCACACTGCAAAAGAGATGCTCCCAGTGATGTTAAAAGCACCCTTTTAGTGGGAAGGGAACTGACCTGCACTGGGAAGCGATGAGAAAGTGAGTAGGGTTGCATTAGGTCAGGGGTGGGCAACTGTGGCCCCTTTATGACCTATGGACTTCAACTCCCAGAATTCCTGAGCCAGCATGCTGGCTCAGGAATTCTGGGAATTGAAGTCCATAAAAGGGCCATAATTGCCCAGCCCTGCATTAGGGCATAAGGAAGTAGAAGCTAAGTTTAGATCATAATTCCATTTCTAGGCCCAAGGTGTCAGCTTTAGAAGCCATATTAGCTCCGGAAGCTTCCACGCTGCCACCGTCTCATGTGTGAGGAAAGTAGGAGGGGGGATTTAGTAGAGGGAATGTAATTTAGACAAAATAGCATTCTTCCTTTCGGTCAAGATCAGGACAATCCTGCATCTGGAGAAGGAGTAGCTGGAGTGATGTCTCGAGATGGGAAGGATGATGATTGGAGCATGTGATGGACTGATAAGTTACGGGATGGTTTTGGAAATATTACCGAAATACCGAGGGAAAACCCGGAATTTTTAAGATTCGGGGTTTCCCAGATGTGCCAGTATACCTATTCTAATAAATGGAACTTTGAGAAAATGCTTGCTTCGGAGTTTTTAATTGGAGTTGGGGTTTTCTGGAACGCTGACACAAGGAACTTTGCGTGGGTAGGATATAAAAGCAAGCCATCATTTATCTCAGTAAAGAGAGAGTAAGGTGGTGATTGTGTTTCCACAACACACAAAATCAGGACAATCACACAACATGTTAATATGTTGGATGAACAGTTGGAATTGCTAGAAGGAGCTATAGAGTTTGGCTTTATATCTCAACAGACAGCTCTAGCCAAAGAAGCAAAACACGTAACAGAATATTTTCCCAAACATATTCTCCTTAAATTTACGACATAACAAGGAAGACAAAAATCGCTTACCACATCATCTGTCAAAATCTTGAGGTGCAAGGGCTGTAAATGAAACAAACCATCTGTTAAGGCGATTAAAAATATAAACTGAAACGAAGAAATGTTTTCACACAAAAGCGATAGCTGCTACTACGTATTTCAAATTTAGGTGGAATGTAAATATATACGACTATATCTATGCGACGCCAATACTTGTATAATTCTCATTCATTGGCATCCTTCAGTCTAAAAGACTATGGTACCATGCTCTGGAAAGAGGTCCTAAACAGCATCTGTGTGACTAAAAAGAACAATTCGAGAGTGGGAATCTCTTCCACACTGAGGGCAGATACATTCTGTCCCCTGCCCAGCCCCCGGATTTCGCTGGTTCCGGGACTGCCTCTTTGCCTCGGCCTGCCGAACAAGTGTCTCTTCGAATTGGAGAAGGCCATGCTGCGTCTTTAGCCTCCAAGCTGAACGATCGGAGGTCAAGGTTTCCCAGTTGTTAATGTCCATTCTCAAGGCCTTTAGGTCCCTCTTGCAGATATCCTTATATCGCAGCTGTGGTCTCCCTCTGAGGCGCTTTCCCTGCACTAATTCTCCATACAGGAGATCTTTCGGAATCCGACCATCAGCCATTCACACGACATGCCCAAGCCAGGGTAGATGTCGCTGTTTTAATAGTGTATACATGCTAGAAATTCCAGCACGTTCCAAGACTGCGCTATTTGGAACTTTCTCCTGCCAGGTGATGCCAAGAATACGTCGGAGACAGGGCATATGAAAAGTGTTCAACTTTCTCTCCTGCCTTGTATACTACTTGTATTATACCAAAAATAAAAAATAAAAAAAATTCAAAAGTCAGTTCATACTCAATTAAACTGGAATGTGCTTTGATTTAAAGGATGGTTTAGCACCATATGTTAAGTAAGTTGCTGGGATGCTTCAAGCCGTAACTGTAGAGTTATATACATTGCATGAATCAAACATCTTGTTTCCTAGCTGACATATGAGACAAATGAAAATCTCCAACTTCTAACTGACCTTCTCTTTTCGTATAACAACTTTTGGTTTTTTTGCACCTTATTAATAGCTCCGTGATGGCGAACCTATTTATTATTTATTTATTTATTTATTTATTTATTTATTTATTTATTGGTTCGATTTATATGCCGCCCTTCTCCGGAGACTCAGGGCGGCTTACAATGCGTTAAGCAATAGCCTTCATACTTTTGTATATACCTGCTTAGTAGGGCTTTCAGCCCCCCCTAAGCGGTGTTCTTTTTTATACAAAGTCAGCTTATTGCCTCCTCATTTTACCTACCTCGAAAGAATGGAAGGCTGAGTCAACCTTGAGCCTGGTGAGATTTGAACTTGCAGTAATTGCAGGCAGCTGGTGCTACTTAACAGCACTTTAGTCTGCTGCGCCACCAAGCCCTCTCTGTGGGCACGCGAGCCGTCACGCAACTCAGCTCCACCGCGCATGCGCGCGCCTCCTGCCGGCCAGCTGATTTTCGGGATACGTGGGGCACATGCAGGCGTCGCGTGTGGATGCACAGGGGTGGCCCACGCATGCACGAGGGCAGGGGGAGCACGGGAGTGGGGCAACCCCCCCCTTTGGCCTACTTTTGGACCCAGGAGGCTGCAAGGAGGTCTACTAGGCCCAAAACAGGGGGCAGGGTGGGTCATGTCCGCATGTGTGGGGGGGCAGGGGGAGCGTGCATGCAGGGCATGGAGGGTCATGTGTGCATGCGCAGGGGGCACATTGCATTATGGGTGCCGGCCTGCATGTATGCTGTCACACACACATGTGCACGCTTTCAGCACACAAAGAAAAAAAGGTTAGCCATCACTGTAATAGCTCAACAAATCTATGTTTGTCCTTTAGCTTAAGCTTATCAGATGTGACAGCTTCTCCTGAAGATGTGACTTGCTCCATTTAGACAAAGCGATATAAAGATCTGAGGACAATATTACCCTTCCAGAGAGGTCCCCGTAAGGAGAGATAAGCTAAACAGAAGTGCCCAAACTCTTGTTGGAAGAAATATCCATCTGGTTCAGTTCCAAGCTGGGAGAAAGACACTGGAAACATGGGAGGCTGATTGGAAAGATGGTTTAATGATGAAGCAGAACCACACGGGATTTGAGAGTGAGGGGTTTTTAATACCTTCTTTTGGGCTTTGCACTTGAGCTTCCTGTTCCTGTGCAAGAACATGTCTCCTATTGGCTGTTGTCAGACTCCCATGGGGCCATGTAGGGGTCATGGCTGGCTCTATAGGCAAAGTACAAATCCTAGATCTTTGTCTGAGCTATGTTTGGTTGACGTTTGGAGGGTGATGCTAGAATTCCTATCAGGGTGGATTTGATTTAAATCAAGTTGATTTAAATCACAATTTAAATCATGATTTAAATCACTAGTAAAAAGGCTTGATTTAAATCAACTCGATTTAAATCATAATTGTTAAAGAGCAACTGTCATCTCTGCTACTCCTTTGACCCGCTGTTGACTCACCGATAGTCCCAGTGTTGCAGAATATACAGCCTCATGCTACATAACTAAGCTCCATTTCATGCTGAATAAACTAAATTATTTATGTATCTTAAATAGAAAACTATCTTACAATGGATTTTTACCCCAAAATTTTTTATTAAAATAAATTCAATAAAAATCAAAAAAATCCGATTTAAATCAAAAAAATCCGATTTAAATTTAAAAAAAACTGATTTTTTTGATTTTTTTAAAAAAAATCATTGATTTTTATCCACCCTGATTCCTATTATGGCTTAATGGCTTTGCCCTGTGTTGACTCTTGAGCAGGGGTCTGCAACCTTAAATACTCAAAGAGCCATTTGAACCCATTTCCCACAGAAAAGAAAACACCGGGAGCCACAAAACCCTTCCCGTGCCTGACTATTTCTTGAGCGGCCACAAAACTAGCATATGTAGTTGAATTAAACTTTCTGTTTTCTTCTGAAACTTTTCTTTTCCTGGATTTATCTACGGGGTTGGCCTACCGGAGGTTGAAAAGCTCAATAAATCGCATGCCGGCGGGTGTCGCACATTGGAAGTTGTGACACATATTTTGAGTGACAGGGAGCCGCAGCAGAGGGGTGAAAGAGCCACATGCGGCTCCAGAGCTGCAGGTTGCTGACCCCTGCTCTTGAGTGAGGGCTAATCTGCCTTTGTTTTTACTTTGCTGCAGGGAGTAATGGATTACCAAATCTGCATTTCTAAAAGCTGCCCCAGCTAGTATCTGCTTGCGGCCAGGGGCTCTGAATCCCTGTCTCCCTTCAGATTTTTTTATTTCTCTTTTAGGGGAAATATTTTATCCTGCCTTTTAAAAATATTCCTCAAAATCTTTCACTCTTCTAGGAGGGGGTGCGTGGCTTCCCCCACCCTCTTTTACTTCTTTCAGGTTTTTCGAATACACGTTATCTAGCAGAGTTTATGAAAATCATAAATACTACTTTGCCACATTAAACCTGTCCGTTGCAAGGCGGTAAGCCTCTACTGATTGTATTAAAAATAAATATAAAACACAGCCTTTTACATTGGGTTTTGGGTTTTTTCACGTTTCTACTTGATGGGGCTGCTTTTCAGTGAAAGCTCAGACGAACTGACAATTAAAAAGAAAAACCCGGAACGCAAAAAAAAAAAAAATGTAACAATGTAATAAACATAGGAACAAATACAAACTGCGGCACAAAGAAATACAGTTTGTGATCTTAAGCAAGTAAAAGGCAAAGCTTTCACCTGGAACCAAAAGAAAAAGTAACAAAAAACAGCAATTTATATAACTCCTTGGGAGAGATAAATGGGGTCTCTGAATTCTTCACCATCTGCTTCAAGGGGAGAATTCAAAATGTAACACTCCTTGTACACAGGGAAGTCTTGGATAAAAGTTGTAACAAAGAAGCTAAGCATTTTGCACTAATCTTTTTTTTTACAATACCGCAATAGCAACAGCACGTAGACTTGTATACCACTTCACAGGGCTTTACAAACTTCTCTTAAGGGGTTTAGAGTCAGCATAATCCCCACCCCCAACAATCCGGGTCCTGGGACCTGGGCAGAGGAGGTATTCACTTACTTTCCCTAAAGGTAAAGGTTCCCTTCGCAATATGTGCTAGTCGTTCCCAACTCTTTCAGATCTCTTTCTCCGAGTAAGTCACAAGGATAGCCACAGAGCCCTAGTTATAACTTTTATATTTCAATACATAAATGGTAAATGTAAAGGTTCCCCTCGCACATTTGTGCTAGTCGTTCCCGACTCTAGGGGGCTCTGCTCATCTCTGTTTCAAAGCCGAAGAGCCAGCGCTGTCCGAAGACGTCTCCGTGGTCATGTGGCCGGCATGATTCAATGGCAAAGACGCACAGAACGCTGTTACCTTCCCACCAAAGGTGGTCCCTATTTTTCTATTTGCATTTTTTACATGCTTTCAAACTGCTAGGTTGGCAGAAGCTGGGACAAGTAACGGGAGCTCACCATATCACGCGGCACTAGGGATTCAAACCGCTGAATTTCCGACCTTTCGATCGGTAAGCTCAGTGTCTTAGCCACTGAGCCACCGGGTCCCTTTCCCTACCGGTTCGCAAATGTGAGCGCACGCGCATGGACTCAAAAACGTCCCTAAATAGGATGGCATAGAGCCGAGGCAGGTGGGCCCACCCACGATTTCCGCTACCGGTTCGAGCGAACCGGTCCAGACCGGCTGAATACCACCTCTGGACCTGGGAAGGATGGAAGGCTGAGTCAACCTTGAACCGGTGAAAATAAAGTTGCCTTTTTTATTGATAATAGAAAGGGAAACATTGGAACAATGTAATCTACCATGGATTAGATTTATATTCTGACTTTCTGTTCCTGCAATACACAATGCACTTTAAAATGATCAGTGCAAGGGATTATGAACTTCAAAAACATCTCTTTAGACAAAGAGAAAAAAAATTAAAAATTGCAGACTACAGGAACCTGGAACGCTACTTGGGTGACCCTGAGGACACAGACAAAACCTCCAAGCGCTTCAAAGACCCTCTAAAAGGATGCAAATGACCAACTTTCTGCAAGGAATATGAATCCTTCCACTCCTCACCGCCCTGTCAGAGCTGAAGAAGCTTCTTGGATGAGAAGCGAAACGTCTTCAAAAGAAAAAAACAGGAAAGTCCAGTTGCCTCCTGAAAAAGCACCTTTGGGACAATCATGACCTGGATGACTGAGAATCTCTACAGACTTCTAGCTATACAATTTGGGATGAACTACCCTTTGAATGGTGTGGGGGTAGGAATGGATTTCCAGTGGAAAAATTGCAGACTACAGGAACCAGGAGCACCACTCAGGTGACCCTGAGGACACAGATAAACCTCCAAGTGCTTCAAAGACCCTCTAAAAGGATGCAAAGGACCAGCTGTCTGCAAGGAAGATAAATCCTTCCATTCCCCACCATCCTGTCAGAGCTGAAGAAGCTTCTTGGATGAGAAGTGAAATATCTTCAAAAGAAAAAAAAAACAAGAAAGTCCAGTTGCCTCTTAAAAAAGCATCTTTGGGACAACCATGGATGACTGAGAATCTCTACAGATCTCTTTAGACAAGCAGTCTGTACAGTAATTAATCACACTATATATTCAGAGGGTGAAATGCAATTCTGTCCTGAAAATTGTTAACTCCAAGCAAGACCGGCAAGTAAAAGTATTAGCAGCCATTTATTGGTTCTTTCGTTTTGAGAAAGACTTTTTAATCCCTTAGAAGCATAGCTTTTGTTTCAGCACTCAATTGAAATTCAATCCTGAAAGCAAAAGTACAGCCCTTAGTAGAGCTTGTAAGCCATTTCTAAAATTCCCATGAGTCTTAGAAAAAAAAAAAATTCAAGAAACCAAAATGATTTTGAGGTCTGTTTAGAATTATCATCCTATCATCAAAAGGGTGGGGGGAGAAATGCTTACTGTATTTTAATCAAACCTTTTAAACAAGATAGACGAATTTAGTAAACATGATATCCTCGAATGTATAAAAAGGATCTATTCCACTGCATGAAGTATAAATAATTTTTCATTTTATACAATAGCTATTACCATCTGAGAAATAAACTCGATGCCAAAATCTTATGCATATTACTCAGAAACATCAAATGTACTACCATGTTTCCCCGAAAATAAGACGCTGTCTTATATTTTTTTGAACCCTGAAATAAGTGCTTGGCCTTATTTTTGAGGTCTTATTATTTTGGGGCATGGAGAGTTTATTATCCGGGGAGGTCTTATTTTGGGGAAAACACGGTAATATTTATTTTCAGATAAGCATGTACAGACTTCAATAAAGATGTCATTGTCAAATGTTATGCAAGTGACATATGACTTGGTATATGCAAGGATTTTATGAACTTTTTCATAGAAGCATTAAAATATTTACTGTATATGCATGACTACTTGAAAATCCATGATACAGCTGCGTAACGTAGGACATGGCTTACTCCAGGTATAGTTTGACAGTAGACACAATTTTAGAAGGTTTGCCAGGTTTTTGATCACAGGATCCATCGAGAAAATATCGTGTTTCACAATCTTGCTAAGATTTGTCTGTACAATAAGTAAAGTCTATAAAAGTATTGTGTCCAAAATTCTTGCTTTATCAAATATATTGGCCTTATTTGGCCTCTGCATGACTCTAAGCATTTTTTTGGAGATTCTGACAATTTTAAAAAAGGAATTACAAATGAGACCAGAGTGTAGTCTAAGGCTGAAGACCAAGAATATTTCTGTGGCCTATATACACCTCAAAGAAAATAGAAAAGCAAAGTACAGTGGTACCTGAGTAGTCAAACTGCTTTGAAACTCATAAAATTTGGTACTCAATGCATTTTGAGGCAAAAATGTTCTCCCAGTATTCATCATCTGTTTGGTATTCAACACACAAGCTAGAACTTGTGTTGGCTGCCTTGTGACTCACTACATTATACTTTATGGAAAAAAGTTGCTTGTTACTCATCATTTTTTGTACTCATCACATCTCTTGGAACCAATTAACAATGAGTAACAAAGTACCAGTGTATATGCAATTCTCCTGAAATTTTAGGGAGAAAATTGGAGACACAACCAATCAATTTTCCTTTCACAACCAGTCAGGCCTTTCCCAAGAGGTCAAAGATCCCCTTCTCAAACCCTACTACGGCCCCAAATGGTTTATCATGCCTGCCCAAGCATCAGTTAACTCCCTTTCCAATAAAAGATAATTGTGCAACATGTCACCACCACCATGGGCAACCCCTTTGTAATGTCTGAGCAGTTACCCCAAGGTCTCACCAAAGAAGTCATTCATCCCTTTATGATCCTAATACACCAGGTGTAACTCCAAATGTTTGGTCAATCCTGTTCAAAAGCAGGTCCATTTCTTCTCCTTAAAAGGTCACTTTGCAAACACTACTACGAGAACCCCATTCAGTGTGGAAGTGACCCAGCCCCCTTCTTTATGCCCTAATACAACCCCAGTCATTTTCTCATATTGACCAGTGCAGGTCAATTCCCTTCCCATTAAAAAGATGTTTCAAATCACTAGGAGCATCTCTTTTGCAATGTGCAAGTGACCCTCCCAAGCCCCCTTCCTTATTCCCTAATGCAGGGGTCTCTAAACAAAGCAATTCTGAGAGCTGAAGTCCACAAGTCTTAAAGTTGCCAAGTTTGGAGACCCCTGCCCTAATGCAACCCCAATCACTCCCAAGGCCCCTTTCTTATCCACCCTTCCCCTTAAAAGGCCATTTCAACTCCCAGAATTGCCAGGTTTAGAGACCCCTGCATTAGGGTATAAGGAAGGGGGCTTGGGAGGGTCACCTGGACAATGCAAAAGGGCTGCCGCACTCTTTTAGTGGGAAGGGAATTGACTCCTAATTAGACTTAGAAAAATTTTATTGTCCCTTTGAATGTACCCCAATCAGCATACATTAAAAATTTGGTTGCATACAGCTCCCAAAAGGTCTCCACCTCTAATATGAACTGCATAAACATGACCAAAAGAAGAAGAAATACAAAATTATGCACATACCCACATGTATTATATAACACAGAGAAACAACAATTCGCTTCCCACTAAAAGGATGTTTTAAAATCACTAGAAATAGCCCTTTTGCAGTGTGCAATGGATCCTCCCAAGCCCCCTTTCCTTATGCCCTAGTCATTTCCTTATCCCTTCCCAGGGCAGGTCAATTAGACTTAGACTTGTCACTTTTTGAATGTACATCAATGGGCATACGTTAAATGAAATTTGGTTGCACGCAGCTCCTAAAGGGTCTCCATCACTAATATACACTGCATAAACATATATACATACATACATGCAAAATTTATCCTTCCTCATCCTTCCTATTTATCCTCACTCATCCTCCCTATTACCTATCCCCTCCCGCTTATGACTATAACCTTGTTGCTTGTATCTCTACAACTTATATTGCTTTATTTAGTATCCTAGTACGATTTGATTGCTTATTTAGTAACCTATGACTCTCACTAAGTGTTGTACCTTATGATTCTTGACAAATGTATCTTGTCTTTTTATGTACCCTGAGAGCATATGCACCGGAGACAAATTCCTTGTGTGTCCAATCACACTTGGCCAATAAAGAGTTCAGTTCCAGTTCAGTTCCAATTCTGTACAGTTCCAGTTCCAGTTCCATTCCATTCCACTACTCTATTGTTTAATTCCTATTCTATTCTATTCTATTCTATTTCTCTATTCTATTCTATTCTATTCTATTCTATTCTATTCTATTCTACTCTGTTGTTTAATTCCTATTCTATTCTATTTCTCTATTCTATTCTATTTCTCTATTCTATTCTATTCTACTCTACTTATTATTTAATTTCTATTCCATTCCATTCCACTCTATTAATTCCTATTCTATTCTATTGTATTGTACTCTAATTCTCTATTCTATTATATTCTACTCTACTCTATTGTTTAATTCCTATTCTATTCTATTCTAAAATTATGCACCTGGCCACATTATATATTACATGGCACAGAGAAACCACAATTCCCCTTCTCATTAAAAGGCTGCTTTGCAAGCACTACCAGATAGGAGCCCCTCTGCACTATGCATGGGACCCCTCCCCTCCCCAGCCCCCTTCCTTACAAGCCCCAATGCGACCCTTCCTCTCTCTCCCCCCCTCCCCACTCAATTTCCTCCTCCTAGTCTCCCCTCCCCATTTCCCCCCCCCCCCCCCCGCCTGGTGACCCCCCCCCACCTCCCCAATACTTACGAACTTGGCTTTCTTGCTGCTGCTGCCGCCGCCGCCGTTGCTGCTGCTTCCCTCCGAGCCGAGCGCCTCCGCGGCCTGCCTGCGGGGCGGCTGGTTCTTCCCGCGGGGAGCCCTCTCCATGGCGGCGGCGGCGGAGGCGGCGGCAGCCGAGACCCTCCACGGCAGCCTCTCCCGGCTCGAATTCTCCCGCCGCTCTGGCCACGCCCCCTGCTAACGCGGACGTGGCCAATCGCGGGGCCGCGCGGCCGGAAGGCGGCCTTCGGATTGGGCCAGACGGGTGACCAATCGCCGCTCGCCTTAACCGTCGTTTTGGAAGGGTGTGGAAACGGGGGGGGGCGAGGAGGAGGAGGAGGAGGCGCGGCTGACGTCACTCGGCCCGCTGAGGAGTCTCCTCCTCGCAGGTGTCGCTCAGGAGTCGCTTACTCCTAGGAGTAAGGCGGAGGAACTCCTTTTGGGGGGGGGGGGGGGGGGGGGGGGGGGGGGGGGGGGGGTCCCGTTGGGGGCTTCGGGCGGCGGGGTGGGGGTCGTCGGGAGCTAAAGGACGAGCGAAGGGGAGACAGGTGGCGAAATGCACAAACAGGATGCCAACTGTCATTTGTATGTGTGTGTATGCATGTGTATATATGTATATGTGTTTATATATACAGGTATATTGATATATGTGAGTGTGTATGGTATATGTGTATATATTTGTGTGTGTGTGTGTATATATGTATGTGTGTGTGTGTATATATATATATATATATATATACATACATACATACATACATACATACATACAGGTACGTTTATATATGTGTATATATGTGTGTGGTGTGTGTATGGTATATGTGTATATGTATGTGCGTGCGTGCGTGTATATGTGTGTATATATATACAGGTACATTTATATATGTGTATATATGTGTGTGTATGGTATATGTGTATATGTGTATATATATGTATGTGTGTGCGTGTGTATATATGTATATGTGTATATATATATATATACAGGTATATATATATATGTGTGTGGTGTGTGTATGTATATATGTGTGTATAGATACACATGTATACATGTGTGTATATACACATGTATGTGTGTATATGTGTATGTAGAGGTGTGTGTGTATTGGGTGGATTCTACTTATCTCCACTACCGGTTTGCAACGGGAGTGCACATGTGCAGATCATTCATGATGATGTCCGGGCGAGTGGGCAGAGCTTCCCGCCACCATTACTACCGGTTCGCAAGAACCGGACTGAACCGGGAGCAACCCACCACTGGTGGGTATATATGTGTCTGTGTATGACTAGACTAGACTAGACTAGACTAGACTAGACTAGACTAGACTAGACTAGAATAGAATAGAATAGAATAGAATAGAATAGAATAGAATAGAATAAGAATAGATAGAATAGAATAGAATAGAACAGAACAGAACAGAACAGAACAGAACAGAACAGAACAGAAACAGAACAAGAGGAAAGGAGTGGAGAATAGAATAGATAGAATAGAATAGAATAGAATAGAATAGAATAGAATAGAATAGAATAACAGAGTTGGAAGGGACCTTGGAGGTCTTCTAGTCCAACCCTCTGCTTAGGCAGGAAACCCTACACCACTTCACACAAATGGTTATCCAACTTCTTCTTAAAAACTTCCAATGTTGGAGCATTCACAACTCCTAGAGGCAAGTTGTTCCACTGATTAATTGTTGTAACTGTCAAGAAATTTCTGGACTTGTATCAAATTTTATCACTACTGTCATTTGGAGGAGCCCATTTTTAACGAGCAGAACAAGTTAAACAATCTCACACATGCTGTGAGGGGAAAAAAGGAACATCTGCTATCCCTGATCTATTACTTTGACTACTCAGGCTGATACAATAATTGTTTTGTTCCACAAGTTACAAACCTGTCACCTACCGAATGTCAACTTCGTGGGGAAATCCCCACTTACCCTATTTCTTTATCGAGATACCCCTTATCCTACTGAATTGTATAATTTAAACATCTGATCACGTTTTGAGGAGAACCCGTATCCCAAATTTTACAGTCTTTTCTCTTGTCGATTTCACAACGTGTCTCGTACATACAAAGCAGATGGCCTTCAAAACGCAAAGTTTTAATCTATTGCTGGGAGAATATAGATAGCATAGTGTAATCATTCTTATGTGCCCTGTTTTTACAACCCAAATCCACATGGCCCCGTGTTTTTAATTATTTGTGATGGGATACATAGCACTAACCAGGATGATTATAAAGATTTGCATACTTATGTTTCAGAATCCTATTTACCTGCATAGCATGGCTGGGTTTACCCATCTGTTTATAAGCCAGTGAATCTCAAACAGAGTAAATTGCATCTTCCTTTATTCCATTTAGATCATATGTTAGATACATTCTCCATTACAACAGAAACCTGATTTTGTTTGTCAATCAGAATTCTGTAAATGTTTTGAAGACGGAGCCAAGATATTGTTGACAACTTGGTCTCAAAAGGATACTATGTTTTCAAGCGTTGTGAATATATTAGATGACAAGCTAAGCCTCCACTAAAAAAATGTTAGACTTGAAAACTGCCATTTATATGAAAGAAAGTGTCAAGTAATCTAGAGCAGGGATAATTAATCTGCTGGCAACCAATGAAAATATATCATTTGGCTGGTCAACGAAGAGAGAACAGTAGAATAGAATAGAATAGAATAGAATAGAATAGAATAGAATAGAATTTTTTATTGGCCAAGTGTGATTGGACACACAAGGAATTTCTCTTGGTGCATACACTCTCAGTGTACATAAAAGAAAAGATACGTTCATCAAGAATCATAAGGTACAACACTTAATGATAGTCATAGGGTACAAATAAGCAATCAGGAAACAATATCAATATAAATTGTAAGGATACAAGTAACAAAATTACAGTCATACAGTCATAAGTGGAAGGAGATGGGTGGTGGGAAGGATGAGAAGATTAATAGTAGTGCAGACTTAGTGAATAGTTTGACTGTTGAGGGAATTATTTGTTTAGCAGAGTGATGGCATTCGGGAAAAAACTGTTCTTGTGTCTAGTTGTTCAGGTGTGCAGTGCTCTACAGCGTCGTTTTGAGGGTAGGAGTTGAAACAGTTGATATCCAGGATGCGAGGGGTCTGTAAATATTTTCACAGCCCTCTTTTTGACTCGTGCAGTATACAGGTCCTCAATGGAAGGCAGGTTGGTAGCCATGTTTTTTTCTGCAGTTCTAATGATCCTCTGAAGTCTGTGTCTCTCTTGTTGGGTTGCAGAACCAAACCAGACAGTTATAGAGGTGCAGATGACAGACTCAATCATTCCTCCGTAGAACTGGATCAGCAGCTCCTTGGGCAGTCTGAGCTTTCTGAGTTGGTGCAGAAAGAACATTCTTCATTGTGCTTTTTTGATGATGTTTTTGATGTTAGCTGTCAATTTTAGATCTTGCGATATGGTAGAACCTAGAAATTTGAAGGTCTCTGCTGTTGATACTGTGTTGTCTAGCATTGTGAGAGTATGGAAGGGTTTCTCCTAAAGTCTACCAACATTTCTACAGTAGTTTTAATGGACACCAAAGAAACCATGCAGGAGCACACACCATGGTTTGCTCCAAAAACCTCAACAGAAATAAGCTTGTCAGAAAGAATAGAAAATATGAAAAGAAAAAAAAAACCATGGTAGTAAATGACAAAGGAAGAATTTGATGCAGGACATTTAATCCTATTCCAAAATGTAACATTGATCCATTGGCTTATGATAAAATCATATCAACAAGCAGAAGACATGTTCCTAGATAATAATAAAAAAAACCCCTTCCCAACAAACTTTGATCCTACTTTAAAATACAGTACATAAACTTAAAAAAAAACAGGTCTTGAAATTTGCAAAAATGTCAGCTCAAGCTCAGGGGGAAAAAAGTGTTTAGTCGTAGAATTGATAGTTAAAACTCTGAAGCTAAATGCAATAAAAATGTGCTTACTTATTAATTTAAAAGATATATATGATTTCCATCTTAAACAACTCTGGGTGGCTCACAACAACAATGAAATCAGTCAGGAGTCCTTGGTGCTCTTGAACTTGGTTCTTTTCTTCATATTTCATTACCCAAACTAGGTAACATCATCAGTACTAACTAAGCACTGATGATATTCCCTAGTTTGGTTAATAGGTAATGAAATGCCTGCAAAAAAACAACAACCAAGCTGAGAGAGCATCAAGGACCCCTCATTTGAACCCTGAGCTACAAAAATTCTCCTTTATTAATAAAACCAATAACTATAAAACAACCATGAAACCAGTGGTGGGATTCAAATAATTTAACAACCGGTTCTCTGCCCTAATGACCGGCTGGTTGGGTGTGGCCATGGTGTGCGTGGCCGTAGGGGCTGACAGGCAGCCTCCTGCATGCCCCTGGGAGCAAAAATGGGCCGTGGGGGAGGCCGCGCCACTCACCCACACCGCACCCCATTTTGGGCCTAGTAGGCCTCCCTGCAGCCTCCTGGGAGCAAAAACGGGCCATGGGGGGGAGGGCATGCCGCATCCTCCCCATGCCCCGTTTTGGGCCTAGTAGGCCTCCCTGCAACCCCCTGAGAGCAATAACGGGCCAGCCAGGAAGGGGAGGGATGGGGAAGGGAGGGGCCAGCCAGCAATTTAACAACCGGTTCAGCCAAAGTGGTGCGAACCGGTTGAATCCCACCACTGCATGAAACAATCAAACGCCTCTTAATTTTACTTCCTGCCTGCATGATTCTTCGCAGTGTATCCTCTTCCAGCCAATACAAAAATAAGTTTGAAAGGCTTTGTCGTAGATAATGGGCTGACTGCCTAAAAAGGTGTTGGAAGGAAAATCCACCTGGTTCAGTTCCAAGCTGGGAGAAAGACGCTGGAAACAACATGGAGGCTGATTGGAAAGAAAGTTTATTGATGAATGGAACCACACACACAACCACTGCACAGCGTGCAGTTCTGGGTCAGCTGGACAACTGGCTGAATAGGTGGATGGATCTTTACAGTTTCTGTAACTTTGTAACTTCTGTAACTTTGAAATTTGGGATTTGTGCAATATGGGCTTTGAGTTTCTAAAAGGGTATGTTCCGATTGTGGCTTTCGTCCTGTGTTGGATCTTGGGTGAGGGGCTGCTTGTTCTAATCCTATCACTCTGCTTTTGTTAGCTGTCAAA